CTATTATTTGTTCATCCTATTCTGAGCATGGACTGTCACATGAAACTTCTACCATACTGCAAGGTGATGAACTGATTCACTAGTGGTAAAATCTTTTTTACCTGAACTCTGAATTAAGATTTACACTAGTATTGCTACAAAATAAGAGATTTGTTTAATCATAGAGTGGTTTGTTTTGGAAGGGACCTTCAAAGATAAACTAGTCCAACTGCCCTGTTGTGGACAGGGGCACCTTCCACAAGACCCTGTTGTTCAAAGCTCCTGGCCTTGAACACTTCCCAGCTTCTCTGGGCTATCTGTTCTAGTTTATCACCATCTTCACCATAAAAAATTTCTTCCTGATGTCCTCTCCAAACCCGAGCTTTCAGTTGTTCCCTTGTCCTTTTACTACAGATCCTGATAAAAAGCCTTGCTCCATCTTTCTCATAAGATCCCTTTGTATTCTGAAAGGGCACAATAAGGTCTCCCCAGAGCAACATCCATGGAAGAACTGTAGAACTACTTCCATATTGGATAAATAAGTCACATTTCATGGTATATATAAAATCATGGGAATCAATATGATCAGAACACAAATTAAAACTTCATAAAAGCAAGGATATCTAATACTCATCTATGCGTGCTGTCTTTTAAAATTTGAAGGATCTGTGGCTGGTTTTCGGGATGCATTCCCTTCATGTGTATCACAGAATGAGCACGGTTGGAAGAGATCACAATGGGTCATCAGGTCCAACTTCCCTGCTCTAGCAGGGTTATCCTAGAGCACATAGCAAAGGATTGTGTCCAGACAGTTCTTGAGTATCTCCAGTAAGGATACACTGCACAGTCACAGTAAAGAAGTTCCTCCTCATATTCACGTGGAACTTCCTCTGCATCAGGTTCCACCCTCCTGATACCTTCCCTTCAGATGCTTATAGACATTGATAAGGTTCCCCTCTCAGTTGTCTCTTCTCTGGGCTGAACAGGCCTAACTCTCTCAGCCTTTCCTCATAAGAGAGATGCTCCAGTTCCATAATCATGTTTGTTGCTCTCCACTGAACTTGCTCCAGGAGTTCCATGTCTCTCTTGTCCTGAGGAGCCCAGAACCGGACACATCACTCCAAACGTGGCCTCACCAGGACTAAGTAGAGGGGTAGGATCTCTGTCAGTCTGCAGGCAATACTCTTTCTAATGCACATCAGGATAACATTGGTCTTCTTGGTCACTAGGGCAAAAGTTTGGGGTTGTTTTTTTTCCATTCAGGTGTAGTTCAGAGTATCTATCAACCAGCAGTGAGAAATCAAAACTTAACAGAGAGCTAATGTCAGAATCCCAGACGCGGTTGCCTTTTAAGTGCCAAATGTCATAGGGATAGAAATAGTATTCTAGCTTCCTTTACACATATAAAGTTGTGTATTTTGCAGGAAAAAGAAGGAAAATATTTTCTGGTAATATGTGGATTTTTCACTTACTGAAATGTACACTCCACTGCCAGTTAAAAATTCTGAATAGTGCTGCCAAACAAGAAATTTGCTTTCAAAGTAAAGCTGTAATTAAAACTATTGCTATAGCTAGAGGGTATCTGGAACACAATGGGACTACTTCTCTGATTATAACCGAGATGTAAAGAAGTAATCGAATCAAGACTTTTGTTCATCTGTAGCTATTGTTACAATATGGATCAAGTAAATTATACACTGGGGATCATTATGTGGCTGTACACACAAAGTGAGAGTGTAGTTCAACACTGACATACATAGGTGTGTTCTGCCTACCTTCCCGATCTTAGCCACGTTTTTGCTACAGCCCTTACGGTGACATAAATAGTCATGGAGCAAAATAAGCAGTACCCCTCCTGGATGATAAGGGAAGGGAAGCTAGGCAGAGGACCACCTCTTAAAAGCGATTCTAATTCGTACACCAACAGTTATCAAAATAACAACCTTATGTTGTATTACATTGTTAATGTTTTTCTTCTGTTTCTATTCTTCTCCTTAAATTTTACACAAAACCTTTCAATATATCCTCCTATTCACCAGCTGTCACCCAGCATTCACCTTGCCCACACCTCATCACTAATTTGCTCCAATGAACTCTTCCAGAAGTCTCAGAGCACACAGCTCTGCTGTCAAGGTCAATCACCCTTTCTCTCGCCACATCACAGGACCCCTGACAGGACCAGAGCAACGTCCTGTCTTATGTCAAACAACTTCACACCATCAGACAGATTTAGGTAATTGAGGACAAGCCTCCATGCCATATAAGGGAGAAGGTGGTACAGTTCAGGTGACCGAGTCAAATACATCCACAGACAAAACCTTCAATTTCAGTCCTGATAGTGGAACCAGACCTGACATACAACTTGGAGTACCAGGACATCAGGTGAATCACAACTGAGACAATCACAATTGAGACAAGCATTAAGAGATGCCTAACACTAAGGAAATAGGTATGTCTTCACAATAAAAATGTGTCCATAAGCAGCATGATTGGGGCTGCCCTGGCAGGGAAGAAAAGCCACAAACCAGTGTGACCCTACACTGGCAGGGCATTGCCAGCCCAGAACAAAGTTTTCCAGCTTTTATAATTCTTTAGGTCTGGTTTGCCAAGCTACAAAACCCAGCAGCAGAGTCTGAAACTTTCATACAATTGTTTCAGTTACAGAGACTATTGCTCACAGAAGAATATTTACTCCATTTTACAGCAAAGAATGTTTGTTACTATCATCCTTAGTTTTAGCAATATGTCTCTCAAATCTCTTCAGTTTACATCTTGGAACTAAAACACAGAATCATATTCAGATGTGTTACTTTTCTTATAGATTCTAAGCAGCATAATAGTAATTTCTCTCAAAATAGTCTAGCAAATTTCAACCTCTCTCACATGATTTCTTCATATATCTCTTGCAATCATTCCATTTATTAAAATATTAAATTTTTGCCTTTTATGCATCGCCTAAATGTAGTAGATAGTATTAAAATTTTCCAGGATTTCAGAAACCATGCAGCTTCAGTTTTTGTCACTTCAAATACACATTTATTATTTAGCTACTTAAGAAAAAAATATCTCCTTGCATCTCTTTGATGAAACTCCTCTAACCATTCAGTAATCCGTTGGTAATTATAACTCCTGAGCTTCTTTAGCCTAAAAGGGTTGAATTGCCACAGATTGTCATGAATCCTGGTTTTAAATTATCCAGAGTCCAATTGCTCACTGGGATGGGGAAACTTCTTTCCAATTAAAGCGACTGATTTCATGTAAAACCATGTCACATTTCACTTTTTAATTAGGTATATCCTTTTCAAATACAAAGAGGTCCATCCTCATTTCATTTTCTACCCAGAGAATGAAATACAGTGAAAATTAATCATACACCAGTATATTGCCAGACCTAACAACACTTTCAGCATACCTTGACTACTAATACATCAGTAAATGATGTCTTCTATTCCTGTTTTATTCCAAATATCTACCTGGAAGTCAAGAATAGGCTTAAACTTTCTACATCCAAACATCCCTGGGTACATCTAAAAATATTAAGCCAGTTACAAGTTAAAAGGCGAAAAATGGGATTAATTTAAACAGAAACAAGAAAATTCACAACAATATAGAGCACCAGCTGACACCAGAGCAGGACTGCCCACACTTCTGTCATTTGAGTAATTTATCTCCACTACAATTACTAGTTAAATAAGGATGTGGCAATCCAGACTTCTAATTCTCATGTAGTTCTTGCCTGGCTTACAGATGGCAACTACCATAGGAAGTTCATATCACAGACAACTGACAGGACTCTCCTGGGACACAGTACCTTCATGATGGACACTTCTCACCTGGGCTAAAGCCTCACTGCACAGAACAGAAACAGAGGTAGTGTGCAACTTTCTCAGCAGTTTTCTCTTTTCAGGCCAGGCCTGGGAAAGACACTGCCTAGGGACTTTTATACTACAAACAAAGGAAAATGCTAGCAACTGGTTTTGTGAAATCAAACCCAAGAGCCAGGAGACAGAGACAATTCACTAGAAGATGAACTGAAAGAACTGTTCATTGAAAAGAGCCCATTTTACGATTCCCATTCTACACAGGCAAACTCAGATGAGACCAGTATTATAATTCTTTATTTTTAAATCCTTTTAATGTCTCAGGATTCATATCACACCAAGAAAAGCCCTACCTCCAATTATTGATGCAGCTTGCAAGTGCTGACACAAAAGGAACTCATCAGGACTCTCAGCAACCTGTTGCTGAAGTTCCCCCCATTAATCTGATGAGGAGAATCAAGCTTTCTCTGTCCACCAGGTCTCAAAACCCCAAATACATCTCTCAGAGAAACAGCTTGGAAGGGCCTAGAACTGCTGCATGGACAAGTCTGAAACAAACCTCAAGTAACTAACTCATTCAGCACATGCTCCAGTTCCCACTATTCCTGTATTCTCCTCACATGATGTTCAGTCAATCATTGTCTGTTTAATGTAGTCTTCACTCTGTATTTTACGTCTGTAAGATTTTTGCCTTACTGTGTTAAAAAAAATTGACAAGACGCTAGACACAATTCAGAAGCAGCAAGAGGTTCCCTGTTGGGTTGATGAATCAGCTGCATAAATCAGTACAAGCTTTCTTGTAAACACACACAAAAGCATGCCTGCTAAGAGGAATGCAAGGCTATTATAAAATAGAAAGGTTGACTAGCTTTTGGAAAGAGGTAAGCCAGAGCTACTACTGAAAGCAAGTACACAAAGTTCAGAAGAATAATTTTTTAAAGTTAAAAAGCACAAGTGAAACCCAGATTAAATATTAATTATTGGCAGGACAAAAATGCTTCCCGAAGCCTTTTCATAATAATACTTTTTTTTCCACGCTCTAACAGGAAAGACTCTTCTTGGAAAAAATAAAACATACATGAGGGAAGCTTGTTTTTTAGGGAAAAGGAGGATACCAGAATCTAAAATTCTAACATCTTATTCATGACTTCTCATCCTTCTGAAAGTGACAAAAGCAAAAAGACTCAGACACACTGGTACTTCACGTCATGACATGATTAAGTTTTATTTTCTTCACATAATTTGTTTAATTACTTTGCGTTAAACTAAGTTGACAAAAAACTCAAAATAGTAGTCTTAAAATGATGACTTTTCAGACAGGAATGTAACTAAAACCCAGCACATTCCCCTGACTTGCTGTGAAGTTCCATCAACAAAGGGACAATACATCATTATCATTATTAAATTGTTACTACTGTACTGACGTTACATAAAAATAAAAAAAAAAAAATCCCCATTCTGAACCAAAGAGTTCACAATCTGCAGTAATGCTAAACACTGTGACAGTAGGAGATAGCTTCTATGCAAGTTAAAATAGGAAGTTAGTGTCAATACATGGTCACATATGGTAAAGTTACAAGTTGAGAAACAAAAGTAACTCAAGGGTACTATACTAGAAGATCTTCTAAAGATCTTTGCATAAGCATAGTTCCTTCTCTAGCCCAGAGTATCAAAGTCTGCAATAAGGTAGAAGGATCAAGCGTGAAAGAAGGTCCAAAAATGTGATGTAGTGTCAGGAAAAGGCAGAATCATAGAATCATAGAATCACAGAATCATAGAATTAACTGGGTTGGAAGAGACCTCTGAGATCATCAAGTCCAACCCTTGATCCAACCCCACTGTGATTACTAGATCATGGCACTCAGTGCCACATCCAGCCTCATCTTAAAAACCTCCAGGGCAGTGAATCCACCACCTCTCTGGGCAGGCCCTTCCAATGCCTGATCACTCTCTCTGTAAAGAACTTCTTTCTAATATCCAACCTAAACCTCCTCTGGTAGAGCTTAAGCCCGTGCCCTCTTGTACTACTGCTGATTGCCTGGGAGAAGAGACCGACCCCCACCTGGCTACAACCCCCTCTCAAGGAGTTGTAGAGAGTGATGAGGTCTCCCCTGAGCCTCCTCTTCTCCAGACTAAACAACCCCAGCTCCCTCAGCCTCTCCTCATAGGACCTGTGCTCAAGTCCCTTCACCAGCCTGGTTGCTCTTCTCTGGACCTGCTCCAGCACCTCAATGTCCTTCCTGAACTGAGGGGCCCAGAACTGGACACAGCACTCCAGGGGTGGCCTCACCAGCACTGAGTACAGGGGAAGGATCACTTCCCTGCTCCTGCTGGCCACACTGTTCCTGATCCAGGCCGGGATGCCATTGGCCTTCTTGGCCACCTGGGCACACTGCTGGCTCATGTTCAGCCTCCTGTCAATCAGCACCCCCAGGTCCCTTTCCACCTGGCTGCTCTCCAGCCACTCTGTCCCCAGCCTGTAGCGCTGCAGGGGGTTGTTGTGGCCAAAGCACTTGGCCTTGTTGAACTTCATCCCATTGGAATCAGCCCAGCTCTCCAGCCTATCCAGGTCCCTCTGTAGAGCCCTCCTGCCTTCCAGCAGGCCGACACTCCGTCCCAACTTGGTGTCATCAGCAAATTTGCTGATGATGGACTCAATCCCCTCATCTAGGTCATCGATAAAGATGTTAAACAGGACTGGGCCCAGCACTGATCCCTGGGGACACCACTGGTGACCGGCCCCCAGCTGGATGCAGCCCCGTTCACCAGCACTCTCTGGGCCTGGCCATCCAGCCAGTTCTTAACCCAGCAGAGAGTGCCCAGAGGACAAGACTTGCATTTACTGCAGCTGGACAAAGCTCCAAGTACAAAAGCCTACAGAACTGAAACAAGGAAGAGGCAGAAAAAGTACTGGAGCAATTGGAGAGGGAAGACATTTAAGAAGCACCAGTCAAGAAAGTCTGCTGCATTTTGGGCTAGGAAGTCAGTGCAGAGAAAGTCACCAGTCCACTGGGTGGAATACAGCAATTCAGTTTGGCACAAAGTTAACAAATTAAGAACAAGTATTTGGGAGCAGCAAATATGCATACTACAAAATAAGAATATAAAATTAATAATCTAGGATTTTAATATACAAAATGCATAGAGAAATAAAAAAATCTTATAAATTGACTTAATCAGACTCATGAATCTTAGCTTTAAACTAATAAATGATAACAGGAAAAGAGGCCCAGTCCTGCAGACTTTAACTGCAACTGGTTATTTGCAATTGTTATGACAGTACTTCAAGCACAGGAGCAGTAGTCCGAAGGCAGGGTTTTCAAGTTAGGAACACTGATATTAACTCCTAAATACTGCTGGTGGTATACTGTTGGAATATATCCAATAAGCCAACTAGATGTCCTTACGGACCATGTTAGCTTCATTGTGCAGTCACAGAGTATTTGTAAAGCATTACAGAAAGCTTATGACAAATTTTACTTCCTGAAGTTTACTTAAAACAAGACACTGCTGAAGTACTTTGTGACTAGAAGCAAGAAACAGACTCAGATCCATAGCACCTTACAATGCTACTCAAATCTTAACTACACGTTGAGAATACTGTTTTTCAAATGATCAGTCTAGGGATCCTAACCTTCAGCAAAAACAAGACTGCCAAGTCATTGCAAGACTGGGCCTCAATTCCACGCAGTTAACTAAAATAGCTACAGGAACTAAAAGAAAATACAACTTGTGCGCTATAGCTGTGTGCTACCACAGTAACTTTCAAACTCTTTAGCTTTTATTTCAAATTCGTGCAGCATGGCTCTAACCCATGGGCATTTATGACTGATGCATCTGCATGAAGCTTCTCATGAATGTTGCAAGCTTCTGAACATCTTCTACAGTCACCGCATTATATAAAGAGGCACGGATTCCTCCCACAGATCTGAATTGAAAAGAAGAGAGAGGAAAAAAACCCAAAAGTTTCGTATATTCTAAAAAAAAGATAACATTAATAACATTCACAGACATTTAAACCCATCCCTACTCTAAAAGGATAAAATTCACATTTTATGTGACTGAGAAGCAATATTTAATTCTTCAAGGCGAGCTTGCAATTTAGAGAAGCTTAGTATTTATTAATTATTTACAGCTCCAAAGCTGTAGCTCTATGGCATCAAAAAGCTAATCCCACAAACACTACTGAACATGGGAAAGAACTCTTGCCACTAGGAAGACAAGCCACCAGAGAAGCTTCATACAACGACACCATCTCACATCAAGTGACACCTTCTTTGGCATTTGCACAGAGATAGATTTGCCAAAGAAAGAAGAATTAAGAAGAAAGCTCTCTGAAGCCCATCACCACATCTAAGCATTAGTTGAGACACCAGCAGTCTCTGATTACAGTCTCTAGACTCATCTCAAGTGGCGCCAAACCAATATGAGAAAGAGTTTATGATGAGAAAGGCTGGTAAGTCAATGCACAATGCCTGCTGCTGTATCGCCACTCTAGTAATTGTTTGTTCTGCACAGGAAAAACATTCGTCTGACTAATACTTACCTATGTCCTTTCAGAGATATCATGTCAAGTTCCACAGCCTTCTCAAGAAATTTCTTTTCCAGGGCTTCATCACCCTTAACACTGCCAATACGGAAAGGGACATTCATTCTGCTTCGGTTCTTTCTCTCCACTGGACATCTAGAAAGATTGCAGAATGTAATGCTTAGCCCATTTTATGCTAAATTTATGTTTTCAGCTATATACAATTTCAGAATGTTTAGAACTAAAGTTGATCTGTTCAGAATCAAAGTTGATCCTCTGTAATCAAAAAGGTCATTACTTTCTGTGAAAGAAAGCAATCCTCCTTTTTTAACCACGTATATTAATGGAAACGGTAAAGTGGAAGGCTTGTTAACCCTTCCTGACATACTCAAAATTGCCCCCGAGAAATGTGTGAGAGGCTTAGACCAAATAAAAAACAAAACAACAAAAAACCCCCCAACCAAACAAAAACAACAACAAAAACCCAAGCAAAAACACATACAAAAACCCAAACAAACAAAAAATGAAACAAACAAAAAAACAAACAAAGAAAACAGTTACTTAGGATAAGTGAGGTTAGTTACAGGGAATTTTGAGTAAGTCTCAAGAAGTTTCTTTTCTTTGTCTTCAAAGACTGACACACTTATTTTTTCCTCAGCTAGTCAAACATGATACCAGAATCAGACTCAGCTACACAAAGGTAAAGGAAGTACAAAAACACAACATTAGAAAATTTCCACAGACATTAATGACTTCTGTTAGTAGTTTCAGTCCACTTTCTAAACGAGTATTACTCAGAAGCATGAACATCTCAAGGAGAGAAGAGGTACCTCTAGAACAAATGCGGCATTGTGTACATGGCCACAACATATACAAGATGCACCACAGCTCTTTAATACCTTAAAATCCCACCTAATCTAAAGTGGAAAATTCAGAATACATTTCTTTTCTCTTCAATTATTTTGTGAAGGCAAGAAAGGATGGGGAAAGGTGAGAAGATTTAAATATCTTTCTTCAGTGATTCTAGTTACAAAGGAGGTATGAAGCCTTCAGATTCATTCTTTCCTAAGTCTGTGATGTAGATTCTTACAGTCATTCATTAGGAATAAGTTCTCATAAATTGCATGTACATTTCATATCTATTATTATTCTATTTGGCAAAGAATGGGTATCATTCTTCTTAGTTTCTCCCTTGTTCCATTGTCCATATGTCCCCATAACGAAAAAGAAAAAAAATCCATCATAATACCTGCCTATGCAAATTTTCTGCTTCAACCACAAAAACACTCTTCAAAAAGGTCTATGATTGTAAGCATTCCCATGTCTGAATTACTGTAGCCATGCTATAGTTTTTATAATATTCAATTGCTGTTAGACAAGCTGATGCAACTCGGTGCACAGACTTCGGAAAGCAAACTGCAAACGGCACATAGCACTTGGTGGAAGAAAGGCTCCATTTGCTAAATGGTTTGCCACTCTGCTTACCCAGGGAAGCATTCCACAGATCAGGTGGCACGTTACAACTGGGAAGGCAGCTTCAGATTAAGTCTTCCTTTTAGTCATAGATACAGTAAAAAAATTCACAATCTTAACTGTATTGGTTCAGAAGACGCATTACAGCTCAGTCAGTGAAGCTTGTTCTGTTTTCCCAGCTGACTATTTACCATCCCATCTGCACTGCATTTCCCACTCACTGCCTTACAGACCAACTTGATAGAAACAGATTTCTGTTTGTCACAGGATGTTTTTTTCAAGGCTTTATTTGCTTTCTGAGATTTATGAAAAGCCCTCTGGATTTTGTGGTAGTAGGATCACAATCCAAATGTACTACATATTACGATGAAACCTTATCCCTGCCAATTAAGATTGCAACCAGCTTTATTCTGAAACCCAAATTTAATTTGCCATATCCAAACTTGGGCTTGAAAATTAGTTTGGTCCCCAAACTGCTGCTTTTATACTGAAAGTGAAGTAAAATATTTTGCATTTTCACATCCAATTACTAGTTTCATCTTGGTGAATATTAAAAATATTACAATTTCAGTTTTAACTACACATAGGTCCCGTGAGCTGAAAAATACCTTACAACAATAGGTAAAAATCAGAGGGTTAAATCTGCTTTGGAAAGCCATCAAAATACCTGAAGAAAATAAACAGTACATAAAGGGTTGGACTTGAGGATCTTGAAGGTCTCTTCCAACCCAGTTAATTCTCTGATTCTATGACGAAGTATATAAAGAAAATTTATTCCACTTTGAAGTCTGATCTTCTTTTATTTCAGAAAGCATTTCAGTTCTTAGCATGATTAGCAAATAGAAATGCACTGCTTGACAGAGAAAAAGCAGAGCCTTTGACTACTGGAAGAGGTGGTAGGGAGAACACAATGCTGAAGTGGTCTCTACAATTTCTTTCTTACAGGCAACTTTCTCTGTTTTGCTCTGTATTTCCCCAAGAGATTCAGTAAGCATACAAACCAGAATCTGCATATCTGGGCTTGGTATACTCTTCTCCTAGGCTCCTGTATTTTATTAAATTTAGAATATGTTTTCATTATGCTTCAATATTGATCTATATAGGATAATTTGGAGTAACTTTCTACTGGAATGAAAGTCACCCTTGGACAGTTACCAAGTAAATGGTTTGCACGAGTAATTTCTGTGGGAGTCCTCAAAAAAGGTGACTTTAAAAATACACTGCAGTCAAACTCTTGAAAGTTATGAACATGTTTGGCTCTGCAACAAATATTGAAACCAAAGGGAAAAGTATAGCAACTTACGCATAAAATCCGTTAGATTTGTCTATAATATCATAAATCATTCGTGATTTGATTAAACTAAGTTTATCCATAGCTGCAGCTCCACCATTATTCTTTATCCATTCCAGTACCAATCCCATGATATAAATACTGCAAAAGGAAAAGAACATTTTTCAGTGAGATTTATTTAAAGAGGAAAAGAAAGAAGTCTTGTCTAGTAGTTCGCAAAATGTTTCAGCAACAAATCTGCTGGACCAAAGTTAATACTTTGTAGAACAGAAGTCTATGTCCTGCAGTTTTCCTGCAGGGCTCCCAAGGACATCCCTAGACATGCTGCATGGACTGCCAATTCACTGACTACACAACGGCCTATCAGATCCTAGAAGGACTCAGATTTAGCACAAAAGTTAATAACATTCACCCTGCGCAAATTCACCCTAGCAAAAATACAAATGGTGAATCTCAAATGCATGTGCATTAATAATGCCAGAAATTTAACCACATTTTCACAAATGTTAAAAATAAAAACTTTAATCCCATTTCTGTCTAAAAGGACCTTTTGCCCACATGAACCGTGAAGTTTGGCAAAACAAATAACGATGTAATACACTTTAGTATTCATTACCATTCAAGTTCTAAGAAGAGATCAGGAAGCCTACTGGCATGGCATGGTTTGGGACCAAGTATTTCAAAGCTAGTTACTAAAGGCAACATAAAAAATCCTTGAGGCCTTTTGCCTTTGTGTTTTGCTACAAAACTCAGCTTGTTCAAGTTCAGGCATTTCCCACGGCTACAACAATTTACATAAAAACCTGCTCACAAGTTTTTATGGCCTATTTCCAACAAGTTTGTTCTTATTAGTTACTTCATTATAGATTCCAAGGGAGTGCTCAGAAAACATTACACTACAAGTTTCCCTAACACCTATCTAGAAGGAGGCTGGTTTAAATTATGTTGCTTTTAATTTCTAAGAGGATGACAATACCAAATCTTTAAATATTGTAGAAAAGCAGACTAATCAAGGTTACAGATTGCCTTTTATAAGGCAATTGCCTTTTGTATTATAGCTCTGAGAGCACAATCTTGCCACATTTATGACAGCATGCTGTCAACTACCCCAGCATAAAGGATTTAAATGTAGTATAGGCTACATCCTTGCCAAATATACAGGGCCACATTCACTTCTTGCCCTCACTTCGTTGAGCAAAATTTCTTGGACAAGTTAATTCCAAGAAGTCAGTCTTACAGTCATTCACAAAGCCGAGCCAGATGAAACCTTTTATCTTTCTTTTGTGTCAGTCAAAATAATGATTTTGGAACAATTTTAAACACAAATTCCAGAGCTTGGAAATTAGATTTTTATAGCAAATTCACTGTCAATTTTAGCTAAACAGATCAGGGTCAAAGAGTCAACCATGAGGTTAAAGCCATTAGCATCACCTTCATTTAATTTAACATCCTGCTGAAGTAGCTTTTGCAAATTCAGTTAATATTTCATGCCTGTTTGCCAGCAAACCATTAGCAAGTGAAAGGAAAAGAGTAGAGAAAAAGAGAACTAAGAAGCTTTGCCAGTTCCTTAAACTGGAACAGACAGTAAGAGCCAAGCCAAACAGATGTGCATCCTGCCAACACTACAGTCCATTACATTCTGGATTCTGGAGTGTACTCCAGTGTGGGTCTGTAGCATGAAGTGAAATCTGGCAAGACGGTGACCAGAAATGAGAAAGACTGTTAGTTTAACTTTATTTTCAGCTCTCTCAACCTGCCACTACCCTGTTAAGGTTACTGACAGATACTTAGTTATACCTAGATCAGCACTTTCTTTTTTTAAGTTCTTTGCAGTGGCTAAAATAAAGCTGCAGAATTTTATTTGTTTTGCTATTCAAACAGAGGAACAACACTGTGTTCAAGTGCTGAAATTAAGTAGAACTTCAGTTTTTCAAACGGAAATAGCTTTGTACTTGGAAAATATCAATGGCTGGATTTCAAAGCTGGCATTTTCAAGTATACAGTGTCCAAAAACGGTATGTGTGACTTGGCAAATAATTGATCCTGAAATAGTGGCTTCATCATTCACTGGGGGGGGATGGGGTGGAGAAACATACATACTGCCTATGTTACAAAGCTACATTTAGAAGACAAAAATCTGGAAACATTGTATAGTCAATTCTTAAGAGCAGCCCTAAGGATGTACTCAGCCAATAGGGCAGACAGGCTGCCAGTAAGAATACATCATTACAGCACTACATACTCTACAGTGCACATACAACTTGGGAAACAAATTCTGCACTGTAAAATCTGCAATAAACAAATGCTCACCAGATATACCATTCTTCTGACACAGATAACTTTCCCTATGTCACTGCAATAATACACTCTGCACTGACAATCAGCACACTCAGAGATAAAATCAGTATCACCTCAAATTTTACTGAATTTAAATAAGCAATGGCATTAAGTGATAGGCCTTACACACAGGAATCACTGAACTTTACACCCACACAGTGCATTTAATATCTGTTGGAAATCAATAGGCAGCCTAACTTTCCAGATTCTGGCATGCACAAACAAGATGTAAGAGCTGAGACTAAACACTGCCTTATCAGATTATTTGAATCGAAAGGAAATCTTACCTTGAAAAGTAGAAATTGTTATTTTCAAAGGTATTTTAAAAAATTGGAGGAAAAAAGGATACCTGGATTGATTTTTTTTCTTTTAATCTTTTCAGTGCAGTTTGATATAAAAATTCTTCTAATTTAAGAATGGGAAGGTACTACTGGTTCAACATCTAAATATTCGAGTAGCAAAGTATCATTTCACTAGCTACCAATCAGAAGCTAGGAAATAGCAATTTTAAAAAGGCAAGTTGTAGTCTGTTCTGCTTCTTGTGTATATGAAATCACCAGGTACATGAAAATTTCATGATCTTGATTGCTAGCAATGATTAGGAAGCTAGATCAATTTTATTTTTGGATATCAAGTCAAACACTGAGACAGTAGTCAAAGAAATACAGAGAATTGTACTAGAGAATAAAGCAAAGCAATGACTAAACTGCCTTTTAAAAAAAATCTTTTACAGTTTCATTTCAAAACCAACATATCATTTAAAACTTTAATAACAATATTTACTATTATCCAGTAAAGAAAGTCAACAGGGATCTGCAGTTTCAAATGCTGAGAACAACCTGAGGAAGAAACTGTACTTAGTGTCCAAGAAGGAAATGCAAGTGCCAAATTACCTATTTGCAATGACAGAAGTATCCCCACTGAATTGACTAGAGCTGTGTTCTTGTAAATCAGAACTGCACCCTGAAACTTTATAAAGTGGAGTTACAACATAGAATATGTACTTTGAAAAAGACTGTGCCCTTAATGGCTGAGTCGCACTATGCAACCCAAAGCCTGCTACAGTCACACGGCTGGACACCCCATGTTTTCACAGGAGTCGTGAAAGACTCCAACATGTAAGTGACTTGAGGGCAAAAAAATACTCAACTTTGGAAGCTTTTCTAGGTAAGAGCAGCAGATGGCAGTGCAGCAGCTTTCTGAATAAGGGATATTACATAGCACGATGACTTACCTGTAGCATGGAGGAGTGTTATACAAAGAGCTGTTCGCTGCCTGTGTTTTGTAATCCAGTACGACAGGGCATTCCTTCAGTGCAAATCCCAACAAGTCCTCACGTACTATTACAACAGTAACTCCAGCACAGCCAACATTTTTCTGAGCACCAGCAAAAATCACACCAAACTTCAAAAGGAAGAAGAAAAGAAAGGTTTGCTACATGCATTCACTTACAGCTGAGTAAAACAGCAGCGTCGTTATACAACAGGCATACTACTCAGCTGAACATACCAGAGAATGTGTGGAAAATGAGCAAATCTGTAGATCAAAAGAAGAGTTAGGAGAAGTTCTCATTACAAAGTGCACTTAACACCTATTCAACTGAGGAATATAATAAGTTTCACAACAATTTGCTAAGTGTTTATTTAATTACCACAAATAATTCTCAAGGCAGCCTGTCCAAATTTCACACTACTCTAAGCCAATTTACTAAAGATAAATTCAGACACAGTTCACATTATTTTCAACCCATCTGGTATTTCAGAACAGGCATCATAAAATCCACCTGCTCAAACAGGAAGACCAGGAAAAGCCAAGATGAATGTACTAACAATTACTCCTTTTTCCTACACACAGGTAAGAAATGCCAAATATGCTACTTCACTAGTCGGTAGCACTTCTACTCGTAACACACTTTACAAACATAGGCAAGTACTATGTTCTACCTCTGTATTATCTGTGAAGCAGATACCATAATTATGCAGCACAGGAAGCTTTGGGAGCTTAAAAGGGGTTACAGATTTCTCATGTAAGAGGCAGGATTAAAAAATCTAATTCACAGTACCCTGTATAGAGAATATATATACTATCTACAGACTAAATATGATTCAGATAATATTTCTTTCAGCTACAACATCAGCGAAGACCATCAAATAGACAAATAATCTTGGGCAGCTATTAACATGGACAATTTTAACATAGTTTTGTACGTTTTTATGAAAAAATAAGGAAAACAGATAGACATGGAAATCTCAAACTTGAAAATTCAACACTTCTACCCATAATCAGATATTCAATTAACAAAACATCCTTAATTTCACTGCTCAGCATCTCTGGCCATCCAGACATTTCAAAGTGCTTAATTATATGCATTCAAGTTTGAAAATGCTTTGCGTGGCCACTGCATCCAATACTTTACCTTGGAAACATCCACAGGTCTGGACAGGAAGTTTGATGACATATCACAAACCAAGACTGCTCCTTTGACATCAGGTACAAAATCAAACTCCACACCATGGACAGTTTCATTAGCACAGTAATAGACATAAGATGCATCTGGATTAAGATTCCAAGTGCTTGGGTCAGGAATGTCTGAGACAGACAAAAAAGAAACCCACAGATCAGTTGGAGACAGGTAATTTTCTTGGCATGCAATTTTACTTGAGTATGGAACCTAAGTGCAAATGCAGAACAGCTTGCAGTATAAAGTATTAATTACGTTGTTACCAGGAAGATAGTCTATCTGCAAAGCAAATACACCAGTGCATTCCTGAAATTCTCTGGTGAGCCATCATTAATCTTGCAAAACCTTTTCATCTTCACCCCTTATGTCTCAAACTGTTTTCATCAAGTTTACAATTCCAGACTATAAACTACTGTCTTAGGGGTCTAAAACAGCATTTCAAAGGAATTCAGGCAGTGGGTTCAAGAATTCTCTTGCTGCCTTTGGAACCACTGAAGCATCCAAATTCTCACTGTCAAAGTTCTCTAAAGCTGTGTTTCTGTGCAAACCCAGAAGCATTTCAGTCTCACCCAAGCTGAACAAACACATGGTTATCTACCTTCCTCCCATTTTAAGCTTTGCAACTGATTTACAAAACTGTAAAGATTTCCTATGTCAACAGTCAAGCTATAGGCATGTCCTGACAGCACAGAACAGGTTTTGCATAGAACAAATAATTGCTCTTCCTTTCTTTTATCCAATTGGTCTTCCTTTCTTTTCTCCTCCTCCTGAGGGGAGACAGAGCAGTGAGGGGAAGATTATTTACTGTCTCTCCCCTTAGCTACAGCTACCAAATAGTGAATACACTCCCCTAGACTGGAAACTTGTAGGTTCCATTCCTTCCTGTCCCTCAGAGAATATAAACTTATTTTCCAAGTTAATGCCCTAATCACCAGTTAATATACTAACTCACATGGGGATATTCCTGGTCTTTCTTGTTGCCAATCTTCCCCATTCAAATGCTCTAATTTGGACCAGAGGGAAAAAAAGTGAGCAAAACTAGTAAGAGTAGAAACTAGAACTGAAGTATTCCTGCTCCAAGAATTATTTACGTATATTCAGTGACACAAAGGTGGGAAAGATAAGTATTTAGGAATCCTTACAAGTAGACAACAGAATTCAGGTCTCTCATATATTGGGTCAAGAAGGTTAAAATCCTGGACATGCTTCTAAATTTTAGAGCAATCTCATTCATTACTGACTATACATAAATCTGAAACACCTCACAATATCCCTGTGAATAGTTTAAGAACTCAGTTAAATATTAAAAAAAACCTGAGACAACCCAGATCACTTCCCTGCTTAGACGCTTGCTTCTTGCCACTTATTTTCCGGGATCTGCTCAGACTCATTTTGCAATTTTTTTTCTAGTGGAGACTGTTAAGCCATTTAACAGATCTCCCAGTGATGAATGTCCAGAGATGTGGCAGACAACCTTTTGAGTGCTGGGCAGTCAACTCTAGTTAACATTTAACAGCCCAATAGCTAAGTTGGATCCATTTTTGGAGCAAGGCTAAAAGCTAAGCATTCACGCAGATGGATGCAATCATCAACTTACTTGTATAGGTTCCCAGTTTCGGATGAACGATATTCACCTTGGCATACTTCTCTGCTTCTTTAGCTGCTTTTGCTGACCAACCTCCAGTAACCACATAATCTGCCTGTCTTCCCTCCTTTAAACCAATGAGGTTAAGGGGGACTGCACTGAACTGAGCAGATCCACCTCCTTGAAGGAAAAGAACTTTGTAGTTGTCTGGTATATTTCTGCATAAAAGAAATAACCATTTCTATTATTCCCAGAAGACATGGGATGCGTATTACTCGATACTATGCATTTAACAGCAAGTGAGGAAGAACTCTGTAATTTTAGAAGACTCTTTGCCAAGAGATTAGACCAAATCCCATTAACTTACCTCAGCACTGGTCTTGAGTAACAACTATTTAAGAGTAATGCTATACATTTCAGTGATATAAATTTGCTGAATAGCTTTCCTTCCCCCCTTCCTTCCCCCACTGGGGACTGCATTAAATGAATTCATTTCTGAGTAGCTGTACTATCATAGCACACAGAAACTTGAATGACATTCCATCAGAACTAATGCTGACTTTTAATTTTGTCTATTGCTACCTTCACGGGTTTTCTGTCAGGCTACGAACTGCACACTGAAGTGCTCACAGTAGAATTCCACTTTGAGACCCTTCAGTTTGAAAGTGCAGTGGTACAGTAAATTACACATGCAGAGCAAGTGTTGCTCATATAGTCACAACAATTACTTGTTCAAATTATTCATCAAAATCCCTCTGTCAATAGTTCTGGTTGCGACTGAGGGTCAAGCAATCATGTTAAATGACCAACATTATTAACTACTATGAGAATAGTAATTCTAATCCATTATATATTTATTTCAAACTTTAAAAAAATGTGTTCATCCTGCAAATACAGAGAGCTCTTCATCAGTGATTCTAACACACATCCATAGAGCTCATGTTAATAAAATTGGACTTACGAGCAATGCAGAGATCACCCCTATACCACTAGAGAACTGATTTCTATTGTTTGCTTTTATCCCTTTAAGGTCATGTCCATCATGAATTCTATAGAGGTGACAAAAATCCAAATTTCAAATCCAAATTCAGTTTTCAATGTATAGTAGTTATATAAAAACCGACTTAATAGGAGCTCTTTGTCAAATTCAAAAATATAAGTATCAGACAAACAGAAGATCAGTGTCCTCCCTGAGATTATTACTCTATCACAGTACCTATGCATGGAAAAACAAACAAACAGGTGCTTTCATGGAAAGTTCTCCACATTACTGATGTAACTAGAACAACCATAAAATAAAAATAAGCAGAAAGTAATTCACTTACAGCAATTCACGCATGAGATTTTCCGTTTTATTTAAAATTTTTGTGAAATCTGAGGAACGGTGGCTCATTTCTTTGGTAGAACAGAAAGAAGAAATAGCATGAAACAGGATGGTAATACATGAATTTGATTTAAAAATTCTGTTAAGCTTTAAACCTTTTACACTACCAATCCAAAATGTTGGAAGGTTGTCATTCCCAGTTCCCACTCCTATTTCTTCTTTTTTCCCCGACCCTTTCTAAATGCCCACAGAAGACTTATATCTGCAGTCTTGTCCAGATACAGGCAAAACCTAACCATTGACATTTGGACCTATATGACTCTACTACCCCCAAGAGCAACTACATTTGCAGGGAGAAAAAAATTACTCCCTAGAAAGGTTAAATTTTTCCGCACTCTAAGAATCTTATCTGCTAATAATGCTATAGTAAGTATATAATAAGATACAGAAGTTTGTTTTGTTCTATTATTTTTAGTAAGGCTTCTTCATACAGTAATGCTGTAAGGACACTTAATACTAATCCCTTTCATTGAATTCATAGGCTGCCTTCCATGTGTAGGTGGACAATTTAAACATTAATCCAAACTGTGCAGTTGCACATTTTCCTTTTAGCAACTAAGCAGTTTCATAGGACTAGTAAAGTGCTGACCATCTTGTTGCATAAATCTTTCGTGCAGCTGGGGCTAAAAAGCCAGTCAGCTACCTATATGGCACAGAAGGCATGTCCTCCTTATGGCAAGACAATATTACCTTCCTAATGGGAAGAATGCTATACATCAAGTGTACGTAAAGCATTTTGCCATCCTGTATGTAAGACACTATATATGGTATCTCTACACACACATGTATATAGTACATTTGTATACAATATGTGTGTATACATACACAGTCTTTCATAGATATGTAAAATCTTTTTTTTTTAAATTGCCTATATATATATATACACACACACATCTATTCTAAAGACCTGAAAGTACCAATGTTTGACATGTTATCTTTTATCTCTAGTCCTTTGTTTTGAATCTCTAAACATCAGGCTATGTATTATTTTAGAGTCCTCTAATGAATGGTAGAAATAGGCCATGAAGCAGGAGTCTCTGGACATATATGCTACCAGAATAAGATATTTGAAAAGGAGCTGAAATACCAAGATCAGAAAGTCTTATTAAACAATTCTGTTAAATACTGAAATTCTGAAAAATGTAGAATTTTTTAAGTCTTACCAAGAACACTTATACCAAGTCCTTTGTAGTCCACCAACTCTTTCTGTGCTTCTAATAATACCTAACAAAAGAAAAAAAACCCAGAAATAAATTAAGGCGTCTGTGCCAGCTGCTCTACATTGCAATAACCTGACACTTGTCAAGTGAGATTAACAGAACTACAGTCACCAACATAATTTCACTGTATCTAGTAGCAGAAGGTTTTCATAAGACAGCAAACTCAAAACATGGTCTCCACGACAAGCATATGATTTAAGTTATTATTTCAAAAGTTACATTTCCAGATTTCAGAATGATTTCTAGGAGTCAAATGGAATGCTTGACCTTTACAAAACACCTAATGTGTGCATACATACTCTTTCTAATTAAGTGTCCTAAATACCCATACCCATCCCTGTATCTGTGATCTTTCACTTGACTTGTGTAAATAGGACAACCAAGGTATTGAAGAAAAAATAAAGAAGAAGGTCAGCTTGTGGAATTGGATACCTTAAACTGAGCCAACAGGACAACGACTGGTTTTACACACTTTTTGAGGATGAGCCTTTTCTATGTTACTGAAAGTTATGAAAGAAATGAAGCAAAATTTTGAGACAACCGAAAAAACCAGGTCACTCCTAGAAGTCCTAGCCAAGTAATCTTCTGCTTCAGCCTTCCATTTTTTTTTCTGTCTTGAATAGATCTTGAATATTAACAAAGTGGAATGAGATTCTAGCCACTGGATCTGCAGCTTCTGATTTCAGTAAATTCTCATATGAGTGCCAGAACACTCTCAGCTTTCCTAAAGGAAGTGGGAGAAGAGGAAGCCCCAGTAGAATAGTCATCAAAACAAATGCTGCACTGAATGCGCCCTAGGATCTAAGAAGAAATTGCACCCTCTGGACAGTTTCAGTAACAAGAGATCTACCTTGCTGACAGGGTATCTGCACAGCCTGTAAAACTGTAACACCTGGTCAGCAAGAGGTCAATTGAAAACAACTGTGCTGCTTTTAATTTTAGAGACTGTGAAGTTTTAACTACCATCTTCCACAATCAAATTTATCCATGCCAGAAAAGGGGAGAAAAATGAAAGGGAGCACACAGATTACTAGAACTGCTTGACAAAATACAGTTCTGCTAATAACATTTATCAGACAATCTGCCCATGCCTGACAATAGACATCTACAACGTCTTATAATAGCCACAAATTGTTCCATCCACCTTCATGCTTCAGTCAGAGTACTTCACGTGAAGCACAATCAAAGAGAAACAAGCGAGGTGATAGAGTAGTCCACATAAAAACACTGCATTTCAAGAGAAGAAAAGAGATTAATAACACAGCGATCAGCCATGCCCTTCTCAAACCCTAAATCCAGTTTTCAATAGTCTGTCAGAGACCTGGGTACTACAGCAGTCCCACTGAGAGCCCCTTTCGGAAACCAAGGGTTCAAGACAGAACAAAAAATTTCTTGGCAACCGCAGCTACAAAGGACTTTTCCGAGAGAAAAAAGAAGCGGGGGTGGAGAGAGCAGAGGGAGAGGGAACAAACAAATAAAAAAATCAAGAAAGCTGCTCTGTAGCAAATTCATTTGCCTAAAGAAAAATTTTAAATAACACATATATTCCCTTCCCCTATGAAGGGAACTCAGAAAAGGAAAAAAAAAAAAATCCACAGTATCTAACCCTTAGTTGAAAGCCAGATGCATACAGTTTGGAAGAAACCACCCCCTCTCCACATCCCACTGGATAATCCACGGCTGCTGATGCAACTTTCCAGAGGGTTGAGTCTACACTACAGTCACTATAATTTCTTAAATAAAGACTTCTCATGGAATACTCCACACAGCTACCCTTCTACACTGAGTGCCTACTTCCCATACCAAAATTAACGAAACGCCCTTGATGCCATATGATCTGGTTTGAGAAAAACAACTCCGAGAGCAATCCAAAAACCACACCAGGGCTCGCTTTCAAAACTCCGAGTTTACCATGGCAGTTCCCTGAGTGGGGAAGGGGAGAAGAAAGGAGGTTTCGGCGCTGCGCGGGTTAACTCTTTCAATGACTATTTACTCGAGCTTCCCCAGCCCTCGCTTTGCCCCGGTGCCCGCGGGGGAGCCGTGAGGACGAGAACACCCACCCGCGCCCCAGCCCGGCCCGGCCCTTACTCACGGAGCGCGGCAGCTTCGCCGGCCCGGCCCCGAAGTTCGCCACCTGCCGCCCGCCCTCCATCGTGCCCGGGATGCTGCCGGCGCTGATCGCGGCGGTGCCGCGGCCAGGCCGATATAAACCCCCCGCCGCCGGGACCCAGGCTGGGCCCGCCCCCGTCCCGGCCGCCCATTGGCAGCGCGGCCGCGGAGAGGCGCTGGGGCCGGGCGGGGCCGGGCGCAGCCCACGGGCGGGGAGGAGCGCAGCCCACGGCCCCTGCCGAGGCCGCCGGGACGGGGGTGGGTCTGCCTTTGCCTAGCTGCGTTTTGGGAAGCCTTAGTGAGCCGTGGTGAGGTGCCAGCGCACACGCAGCCGTGGGTGGGCAGGCATGGAGGCAGGCAGACACACACACACACACAGAGAGAAATAAAATGAACGCATGTCCTACTGAAACTTTACTTGTGCGTTTCCCCACACGGTTGCTCCTGCAGAGCTGGGACGCTTCTTCCAAAAGCAATCTGCATGAACGCGTGAGAAATTACGAACAGCGATCCAGACAGCGATGCCCAGAGAGGCTGTGGAATTTCTCCTGGAGACAAAAACTGTCTGGATGCAATCCTGTGCAACGTGCTATAGAATGACCCTGCTCGAGCAGGGAGGTTGGACCAGATGACCCACTGTGGTCCCTTCCAAACTGACCATTCTGTGATTCATCTTTAAAGAGGTAGTTTTACAGTACCCAAATGTTCTCATATTTTGGGTGAAATTCTTTCCTCAGAGAGGAGGAGGAGCCCTGCCTTCTCCAAGCCACAAAGTACCAGCACGTTGCACGCTGTTTTCCTGAAAAGTTTGTTGCAGGCAAATTTGAAGTCATAGGAAGATAATAAAATCAAGAGAGCTGTGAAATTTAATTAACGTCACAGACAGCAGACCTTGGACTTGCCTTGAGGTCTGCCAAATCCTGGGCTAATATTCCTGAATACTAAATTGTTCTTTCCACACATACCTGAGTTCATTGAAAACATTGAGGTCGTACAGTTAAACTGTTGTAACTCAAGGGAACATTTTAGTTCTTGTTCATCATCTTGTTCTTTAGTTCACCCAAGTTCTTGTGATTGTTTTAGGGAGAGACACTGCACCTAACAGTTTCCAGAAGTTAAAGGCAGTAGCAGTAAATCGATTTTGACAAAACAAGCCATGAAGTATGACTGAAAACAGATGGGCATCACAAAGTCCCATAATCTTAAAGTATCTTGGACAAGAGTTACGATTCTCGTATGTATAAAGCACAGCTCCTGAACACCTTAGACTACCCAGTGTTACCTGTAATGCTGGCCCTACTTTAGTCCCTTGCATGTTCACCAAGCTTATCAACATTAATTGTCTGGATACCAAATCTGCATTTTTTTCAAAAATGAAAGTATCAATGCCCGTTACTTTGCAAATACTGAGATTTATATAAAATATAATTTTTCATTCCTTTTGCTGTCAAGTCAGGTGATACCTAGAACAGTAAAAAGAGTTTACAGATCACAGCTTGATCTGCTATTTAGTTAACACATTGTAGAAGTTATTTTATTTAAGAGACTGAAAACAGAGACTCTGGTTTTAGAGCAAAGATAACCTTCATTTCAGCAATGGCTATATAGCTGAAGAAAAACCTACCAAACTTGCTTTCAGACGCCAGAAACCTCCTCAGTTCTGAAGAGATAATTGCAAACTTCACAGACGTTATAGGTGCAATACACTGTCTTCAAAACACCAAGGTCTAAGACCACGACCTCCAGAACAACTACACTACTAATTATTAAAATTAGTTCTAATTAAATGGAAGCCTCTACTCAAATGCTAAGTAGCAACATAGACGTGACTACAATTTATTTTTACTAGTGTCTGAAATAAAACTGGTTCCAGAGATACAGGCTCCTCATATGGGCTTTTCCCAATATTAAATCCAAACCACTTATTTCTGCAGTGGCATCCTAGGTAGGAAGTCGTAATGGAAGCAGTCAGAAATAGTGTAGTGATTCAGGTCAGAAAGTGTTTTGACTTCTGAGTAGGATCAGTCTTGAATCCTAGCTGTGTGGCACAAACCACAAGGTAAATTGAAACTTTGGAGTTAAAAATGTAATTCAATCCTTTGACACAGAGCTAGAACATAAAAAATAGAAATTAGGAGAGCTGGTGCTGGTATCAGCTCAGAGTACTGAGAGTAAATACCAGGTACTGTAGTTTTCACTTCACGAAAGTCCCATCCTGACCAGAAGGGTCAAAAATAGCAGCTCCTATGAGATCAGAGAACAACAGTCCTGAAAGCCTTGCCATGTAGAGCTTTAGAAAATCCATTTCACACTGTGCATTGATGGGAGGTATAGAAAATTGGTAAGAATGTGTAAACCAGAAATTTTTGCTTTGGGCAAGGGATTATTACACTTCTGCAGATGGAAAGAATGAAGAGAAACACTATAGGTCACATTAGAGTTTTGTTTCTATTGAACTGACATTTCTATTTTAATATTTTGCTACCAGCAATTATGATTTAATGTTTTTATTACATTAAAACCCATGAATTGATCATATCAATATTCAGTGTTACCCATTATGAAATACAGGCTTTCAAACCCATGACTTCCAGGAGTGCTTCTGGCTTCAACCACTTGACAGAGAATTTGACCCTTCCATTGCCACAAACCCCTGCAGATGAACATGAATTTGCATAATTAATACAGAAACAGAGTGCGCTGTATTTACTACGCTGCACAACTGGAAAAACAAGACATTAAAAAAAAAAAAGAAAACTAAAACAAAAAAACACAGAAAAAGTGTAAATAAAGTTTCAGAGTTTTCAGTGAACTTTTATTAGGCTCTTCGTAACTTCATGTTATGCTGGACAGCAAACCTTGATTGACTACTGCTGGAAAAGGATCAGCTCACTCAAGGAGAGCAAGTGTACACGAGTTCTCTGTCTGGTACTATAGCTGACAAACTGACGTCATTACTAAAGACAAATAATATTGACTACATAGCAACCTGGCAACTGTTTCTGGAGGCAGCTGCAATGTCTGGTCCAGCAAACTAAGTGCGACAAGCAAATTTTGCTGAAACTTAAAATATAGGTAGTTCAAACAAGGATTTGAGGTTAATTTGTTTTCCAGAGATTGCAGTTCTGAACTGTGAAAAGTATTTCTTCGGAAGCCTAAATGAAGAGAGAAAAAAATACTGAGTTTTATGAGTAAACAGTATTATGTTCTCTAGCAAATAGCTGGCCTATTGATTTCAGTATTTTATGTCAAACAAGAACACAAATATGTAAAACATTAACTAACAGCAAAAGGATGAAACAGCTTATATCAGAACTCATAATAATTTAACAAAAAATACTTTACTTTATATTAAAATATTGTTAAATATACATACAAGATAATTATTTATAATGATACCTTGGAGTTTTGATGTTTTAATTTTTTTATTTTTGTAGACCTTAGAAGTAGTTATGTAGTAAATGTAGATTTTAGAGTAGCCCTTTACCCTTAACACACCAGCTCAAACCCCTGTTACCCATTCCCCTATCAATTCCCTAAATTCCATAGCCTGTTTAGTCTCTTTTTCAAGGTAGAATTGTAGAAGAACACCCTAACCCTACGGAACAAGATATAGCCATAGACCCAACAACCTTCAGGCCTAGAATTCTGGAAGGCCTCCAAGGACATTACGTGCTCTGAGGAAGATGAAGATGAAGAAGAGGGGGTCCCAAAACGCCCCCAGACCCAATTCCCAAGAGGCGTGGCGGGGGCAGAACCTGTGTGGTAACAGGACGGGGATTGGGCAAAAATCATTATAAAAACTGTGGACATCTGTATTTCAGGAGTGAGCACGCGCTGGGGGTATTCCAGAAAGCCTGGGGGCTCATTAAAACTTCTGTATCCTTATCTTATCTCCTACCTGATTTGGCTTGGACTCTTTTTTTCCCCACAGCCATTTAGGCAACAATAAGTATTAAATTTTTTTGTAAATATATTTTAAAATTGTAAGCAAAACCCTTGAAACTTTTGAAATATTCATGACAGCCTTAAAAAACTCTTCTCTGAGCAACTTCAATCCAACTGATGCTCTACTGACTTCATATCCAACATTGAACCATATATAAAGTAGGCACTACAGATTTTTACTGCAAGAGTGCTACACCACAGCACCAGTGATGAGGTGAAGAATCCTTCATGTTTCTGATTTAACAGAAAAAAAAAAAAAGTTAAGTATTAAGCCACTGGAAAAAAATATCCCAATCTCAATTGCAAACTGCCTGATCAATTTTGTTTTAAAGTACTATTTTTGATATAATTCATACTGTCAAAGCAAATATAAAAAAGTAAGTACTTAACATAAAAGGTAGTTTATGCCACCTGGTTATATGCCTTCAATACATAAACTGTTTTAAATTATTTTTGCTACTTTTAAGGACAAATAATAGATTCCTAATTGCTAACCTCACAAATCCAAACACTTTTGAATTTATAGTTCTACTCAGCATTTCTCAGGGATTAAATTAGCTTTCGAGTTTTAAATTTTAAAAAAGGGAACAAGTAGCATTTTAATGCTGAATAAACAGATTGCATGTAATTGTTCAATCAAACCAAAATCACAAGCAAAGGATGACTGAAGAATTAGACAAACAGTTGGGAAAGTATGTGAAAAATAATACAGATTAATGTATTACCTTCTATTATTCTGAAGTGACAAAGTCTGTACAAAGAACATACTTTCATTGTGCAATTACTTGTGCAATATCGCAATAGTTAAAGTAAACTTGTGCTATTTGCTCTGTAGAAAACTTCCACTTGAGGATTCATGAGTTTTTTCATAATTATAAAGCAACTGAAGTCAGGAATTTCTACAGATCTTCTGTGTTCCAGAACTCACATGACAGATGACAAAATAAAAGAAAGTTACACAATATTTCCCCCCCCAGTTCAGCCTAAAGCATCCTCCCCAATTCCTCTATGTGAAAAAGATCTTCTAGTTCAGAAGCTGCAAATCAGCTGCCTATGCACAAGGACTGAAATAAGAAGCTGGGGGAAAAATTCCAAGAGTTTTGAAACAATTATATTCTTTTAGTTTTATTTTCTCACATTTCTCTAGGTCCTGAGAGAAAGCTAACTGTGTTGGACTAGACATCCTCCAAAGGTTCATTCCAGTGTGCGTTACTCTATAATCTGCATCATACCAATAACTGATATGATTGGTGTACAACAAGATGGTTATATTTAAAGATTTCTTGTAGAGATGTTTTTTGGCTCATTTTTGAATCTGAAACTTCCACTACTTTTGGAACTGTCATACCCACACACTTAAGCAGGAATTGATGTTTGCCCCAAAACCATTTTTGCCCTACCCTTGGAATACACTGGAAATAAACACTGGAAAAAAACTGTACTCAAATTAACTTTATTGGCTCAAAACAGTTTACACTCTACACCAAGACTGGTGGAGATAATAAAATCCATATGCCAGAAGTCCTTTGTCTGTAGTACGAAGTGACAGGTACCATTTAAAGTATATCACGTTTCCAAAATTTGAAATCTCATGACAAGGAATGCAAACATGAAACAACATGCAATGCTTTAAAAAGTCACAAAGTCTTCATTACCTTACAAAAAATTCAAAAACTATAGTGAAACATCCAAAATCTATTATTAATATTCCAAATGTAAAGAACAGTCCAAACATTTTAGAAGCATTTCAAATGCTGGTAACGCTTTGTATACTTTCTTGTATTTCAGAGCCAGATCCTAATGTGTCACTTCCAGAGGTGTTTACTGCTTGTAGTGTACTTTGGTTTCCTCTTGCTCCAGTAGTTGGAGCTGCCGTTTCATTTGCTCCAGGGATGTATTTCTTAGAGGAAGAATTTTTGCTTTTTTCAACAGACATACCACTTGATACTCTGCTGTCATCACTTTTAATACGTACACTGGAATCAGCAAATGAGTGCAGACCAGTAGCCAACTGTCTTGCTGAGTGACCTTTTGCTTGTTCATTTTGTTTGACTCTCCTCTCAGAGAATACTGGTGTACTACTACGAGGTTTATCCTCTTTATTTTGGTTAATTGTTTGAGCTTCATTTTCCTTCCATGAGCCTAGCTGGTACTGCTGTCCAGCAGTCTGAAGTTCTTGTATTTCTCTAAGTGCAGAAAAGGCATTATTCATCACCATCTGGGATTGAAATGTGCCAGGAAGAGACAGTTGGATGTCCCCTATTCTGTTCTGAAACAAGAGATTCCAATGAAGATATTGCAACTGCCATATATACACAGGGGTAGACACATACAGACATATTACAGTATCTTTTCTAGCTTTAAATCTATACTACAAAGGTATGTCATTTACACTGAAGTAGCCAAAGCCTAATCACGTCTATCATTTCAAAATACCTGCAATTCATTATGTTTGCTTGCAGTTCACAAAGGTGTAGTCCCAAAAGTCTATCCCACAATAACTCGCCACTACAAGAATCTAAACTAATCACCAGTACTAGGAAATAAGAACAAGAGTCTTCAAACTGGAAATTGCTTTCCACGCTTTCAAATTTTATTTTTTTTTTAAACCCAAAAGTTTTAACATGTTTTAGAAGCTCATGGTGTTCTTGAAAAATTTGGAACAGTTAAAGGAACACACTGGAATGCAGAGTGATTCTTAGATATGTCAGTTTTATTCAACTTGGACAAGGCTATAGGCTGGCAGTATCTTCATTTTTAATAGCCTTAAAAACTTAAGCCTGGGCTTTTTTTGTTGTTCTTCTGGGTTTGGTTTTCTTTGTTTTGGGTTTGGGTTTGTTTGTTTTGTTAAAGGAACTTGAGTATCTCCTTTGAAAAATCCATAGGATTTTCTACTAATTGGCAGAGTAGAAACAAAAATCTTTAGCACTATCTACAAATACTGAAAATTTGTAATTGCCTGAAATTCATGTCATGGCCACACAAAAATCCATTAGTCCTGGACATATTACTTGGAAGACAATTTGTGATTTTCAGCAGGCACACTGTACTAGCCTCTAAGACTAGGTTTTTAAAATCACTATATATCATTATTAAATGCTTCTAAAAAATCTAGTCATGGTACTTTTCATTTTTAATGAATGTATACCAGTATTGGAACTTCTTATTTCAGAGTCATAAACAACATTATTACCACAAATACTTTAATACATTACAAAATACTGTTTTATATTCCAAATGGTAAACACTTTAAAAGCTTACATTAATCACTGAAATGTTACAAACTGTATAAATGCAGCCACAGTAGAAGTTGCAGTAATGCTTCATGCATCAGGGGGATAAGAGCCTTTTGAAAGTACATTAAAAAGTATCAATTAAACTTGCCTCTAGCATTCTCTCTATAGACTTACTTTGCTGTTCTGGGTATGTTCCTGTCTTTCTTCTTCAAAAGACTTCTCCTTTACCAAGTTAGCAGACTTACTGAGAGTAGAATTCATTTGTGGTTGCCCCAAAAGGCCAAAATCTGACTGGTCTATCCCAGCTAATACAGCAAGTTGTCCAAGTCTGTAAAATAAAGTTCAGTAGAAAATGACACAAACAATTCTTAGCCTTTGAAAAATCTGGAACAATCAAAAACCAGAAAAAGCAGCAGAGTCTGTTTAAAGCTTTGAAGATATTTTTCCACAATTTTAGGAGAAGCCCAATATCTTAACCAAGATGAAACCAAGTAGCTAGAGGTATTTTCTTATCTTTGCACAAACTAGCCTGCAGGTTCAAAACTCAAGTCTTATGAGTCTAAAAATGAAGTTCTCCTAGTTAGCACTGCACCCAGAGCAGGATGATGACAGGCAGATTCCATGTCAGACAGAACAAAGATCAAAACTCTGTCATTCAAGCAGAAGATCGGTGCACATCTCCAATCTGGCATAATACCTAATGAAGCTACGACACGCTTCACAAACACAGTGATGTGTCACCTGCCAGTTTACAAGTTGGCCAAACCAATTACTTGTGTGTTTTAAGCCTCAATAAGAAGAGAGAAGTTGCAGCCACCAATTGATAGCACAGCATACAATATATAGAAGCTTATGAGAAGAACACTCTTTGGGATTAGGATTCTATAACTTTCAGAGCAGCTTCCCAGTATTACAAATAGACATAGAGCCTGTATGGAAAAAATATTTTTCATGTCATGAAAATGCATCTGTCCCTTCCTCAAAAGTTTTGAATTAATTCTTGAAGTAATGCCAACTCTGCAAATTGATTGTCACAAAATCAGAACACAGCCTTGGAGTGACATTTACAGTAAATCAGAATCATAGAATCATGAAATCATTTAAGATTGAAAAACACCTCTTAATGGCATCAAGTCCACCACTGCCAGGTCGACCACTAGACCACGTTTTAGATGTTTAGTTTCTAGATGTTTTCTTAACACTCCAGAGATGGTGATTCCGCTAAGTCCCTGGGCAGTCTGTTCCAGTGTCTGACCATTCTTTCAGTGAAGAAATTTTTCTTAATATCCAGTCTAAACCTGGGACAATTTGAGACCATTGTTACTTGTTCTGAGTTACATCACTACAATCTGGAAGTGCGAGGCAAATAATAGCTTTTCTGATCTCTGAAAATGCAGAGTAGACTACTATATATATTCATGCATTCCTTCATTCTTGTGGATGGGATTGCCATGCCTGGATACATAAGCTTTACAAAGCAGGTTTAAGCTGAAATTCCTTGATAAATGGGAAGGATGAACCACCCTATGAGAAACTGCAGGTACAGTGGTAAGACAAACTTTAATCAACAGTCTCTAAAATAATTAACATAATAATAAATAACCCAGAATTTAAATACAGAGGCCAGATTCATTCATCTAGATTTCCATACTTCAGTTAGAAAATGGATAGCACAAGGAAATAGGACACTTTCTGAAGCCAATTCAACTGCATTTTGACCCTTTCATCTCATGGAAATGCTAAAAGCCACATGTGATTCAATAAAGACTTGGAAACATGTTGTATTAGAAGCTTTCTACTCTTTTGGAATGGGCTTCTTAAAAGACTTTCCCAAGCACAAACACATGAAAAGTGCTTGGATCATGTTTTTCCCACTAGGAAAAGACTAAACAGTAGGTACATGGCTAATTTATTTTCCTTTGCTCTTTGGAATTACAGTTCTATAAATCTGGGGGGTAGAAGACAGCATACTTCATTGTGAAGATAATTTTGGAAAAAGATCTAAGGAGAAACAGCAAGACTTAAGTAAAGTGACAACCTACCCAGCATCTTTAAGGAGGTCTAAAAAAGCGTGGAACTTTTGGAAAGAGTTCTCAATGCTGCCTAGAACACTTTCATCTTCCAAAATTGTGCTGGTTACTGACTGTGCATGAAGAACCTCGGATAGGGAGATACTTAGATTCCTTAATCTTGCATTTTCAGCTTCCAGCTATGTGGAGTGCGGGGGGAAAAAAGAAATTTCTTTCATTTTCAGTTAAAAAAACCCAAAATATCAAACCTCAACTTTGTAAGCCTAAAGCAGCATCACAAAGTAAAATACCCACAGTAACTGATGTAACAGATACAGAGTTTGCTGCACCAGACACATTCAGGGCACTGTTACATTGAGCTCTGAGAAGATATGTTTATCCACAGCTGTAATTCTATGTTGCCATAGTGATATTGCTGCAGGCACTCAAAACTGCTGGCTCAGGACTGTCTTCAGTATGTATGGAGTTACAGAGCAAGTATAAGCACAAAAAAATTAGCTTTCAACAAATTAGTGCATATATTATATGACACACTAACACCAAAGAATTTATTTTATTAGTAAAAGAACCATAACGAAGGCCAATGCTTTTCTTATATTCAGACTGCTGTATCAAAGGGAATGCATACTACTATTACCTCTCCCCTGCACTGTGCATCCCAAAACTGAAAGTTAAGGATGATTCAATTTTTCTCCACACTAAACATTAATCAAATTATGACAGACTAATAAAAGTTGAATGATAACTGCAGGATATACAAGGTTTTGTGTTTGAGGGAAGAATTAACTCAGACACTCATTTAAGATTACAGCTATGTAATCAATTGCTACCACAGGCTTTCCTTCTTTCATTTTTTATGAGGGCAAAAAAATTATACATTCTGTAGTACTCTGCAGATGTTAAATGAGCACCAAAATGAACAGTTTTAAAGATTACTGCTAGTTGGTTTATCCAGTCTCCTGAAGCAAGGTGCTACATCCAACCAGTATAGGATGACAGAGAAAGATTTCTTGCAGGTGGTGTTTAGCCTAAAAAGCATTTAAGTATTCAAACAACAGATACCCAGAAGAGCCCACTGGGGCAAATCACATTACAGGAGGATGGCGATGGTTGCACAAGATGTCTACAATGAACCTCGTGGATTGCAATCTTTTGTGGATATCTGCTCCCTGTACTGTGGGGTACCATTTGGTGCTCAAATTTCAACAGGTATCATCACTTTCAGTCCCCTCCATTCACATCTAAGAACCAAATCCATTTGTTTACACTATCTTACACGCAACTCTATTAGAAGAAATTCTGCTTATTGATGCAAAAGAATATTTTTAGGTCAGCAACAGCAGTTGGGGAGAGAAGACTTCACAATTTAACTGTGATAAGTTGTTCAGTTCTGTTGAAACTAAGCTGCACTTCGCAACAACTGGCATGCAGACGACCATCCAACATGGTTATTGCCTGTGGAAACAAAGCCTAAAAATCAAAGGTACACAATAAGCCAAATTAAACAATAACTGCAACAAAGAGCTTCTCAGCACAACTCATGATAAATGAGTCGGGAGACAAAGAACTCTGTGTGCAAACTGCAAACAGATTTAATCGCTTTCTCAAGAAAAGTATCAGGATGCCCCAGACCACAAAACAGTGAATTAACAAAACCCATTGAAAGAGTAGCTTGAGCTGGAGTTCAAGGCTCTGGAACAGGATCAGGAGAACAAACACACATTACTAAACACAGATTTCATCATTGCCCTTAGACTAGAAAATGATCCATGTGACTTTGAACTGAAACTCTGGAAGCCACCACATTAGTGGTCATAGATAATTACTCCTAATTAAGCACATGGATACTTTGATCAGTGCCTCCTTTAAAGATCATTAACAGTTAAGTATCTTACCTCTGCTACTCGTTCCTCAGCCTTTTCTCTAGCTCTTTGTTCTTCCTTTAGTTTTTCCATGCATTCTTCCAGCTCCAACTATCAAACACAGATAAACTATGAAGAAATTTATCTCAAAATGTCCGATTAACATGCAGTATACAAAACCTCAACACGTCCAATTAACAACTAGCATATGGCATTCCAAACATCAGCTAATCTTCTACGAAAACACATGACAGATGTCTACCAGTACATAACTCTACGATGCAAAAAATTTGGAAAGAAAAGTAGAAATAAGTGTGATTTGCTTAACAGATTTGTAATATTGCAACAGATAATATCAAATTGCAGCACAAGTCTCTGGATTTCCAGCCTGTATTCTTTATCCAGGATTTTATTCCTTCTTACAGGAATAATAATACAAAATTCTGAACTGTAAGAACTGTACCTTTCCAATTGGTTTCACTTATTTCTTCAGTAGAAAAGTAAGATTTTCACAATCCCAAGTTTAGTGTCAAATTAACAAGAACACAGCCAAACATCTAATAAACATATTTCAGTCTTATTCATGAGACTAGAAAAACACGGGTATTTTAACTATTAGCTTTAAGTGGTAAATCTCAGTTTCAGTAACAGTAGTCAGGATTTGATAAGCAATACTACATTTTCTTGTAGTGATATGCCAGCAGAGCATTATCATTTTTAATTACAGCATCTGACATGGAAGAACAAACAGGATTTTTGTTCTTGCACACCTTAACAGAGCCTTCTGGTCTGAAAGGTGAAAATTGTTAAAACTATCAAGCTAATCTATTTTTCAGAGGGTAGACTATATGAATTAACAGCATACAAAACTTAATTTCTCTATACACTTGATATATGGAAACCTGTATGTAAAATGACACAGCTTTTTGTGCGCACCTTATCAACCAGTTCTACAGAGAAGCAGAGATCCAAATAGTACTGAAATCGTTTGTTTACTATCAGAAGTTTATTCAAGAGCATACTACTGTACTTCATATCGGCAATCATCTGAGAAGACTGGTGTGCAACAACCTGCTTAGTACAACTAATCCTTCTGCAAATGGAAAGAGGTCCTCACAGGTCTTAAAAGATGCAAGGGACTTCTGCATCTGATTCAAAGATGCAGGTTTTAGAATAATCCAGATATACGTCTCACAGTGACAACCACTCTAAGTGATGGTTATGGGTCTGTCACTATTGCCCAATGAAGCCCACTCCTATGATCCCCAGACTAGCATCAACCAAGCTAACTCTGGAACTAGAAAGCTAGTCTTATCTTTATCATCGGAACACAGGGGTATCACCTGTAGAAGCCAGAAGGTATAAGAAAAACACATTTCAAGACACGATTTAACAGTACCTAACCCCCAGGCATAGAGTTGTGGGCAATTCTCTATAAGAAGAACCATCCAAAAATACCACAGTCTTAATGCAATCAACATTAGAACATGTGGAAGAAATGTCTCTTTCAGACACGCAAGAACAATACAGAAAGTAGTGACCATAATATTCTAAGTTCACAACTTGACATGTAACTTGGAATCCCATAACCTAGCACTGAAGACCAGTCATTGCTACCACAGACCTGAAGAATGCTTACATTTCCATTTATAATGTGTGCGCATTTGTATATAATAAGTAATGGCCAGTCTTCGCGAGCGAAGATCCGGGGAAGGTCTTTACACCTTCCAGCCTGCGCATTGGATTTTTTAGGTGAGACACAGTGTGCGCGGAACTGAGCCCACCCTTTAATCCTAAGGTTCATCTGCCGGGGCCAAGCGAGCTTGGACGGTGGCAGCGAGGTCCTTAGGACGTAGGTGGGTTGCCTTTAAGGGCTGACGAGCCCCACCTGCCCGGGAGTGGCCCTGACCGGGAATCGAACCCGGGTCTCCGCGGTGATAGCGCGGCGCCTTTACCACTAGACCACCAGGGGCTGCGCATTTGTATATATGTATGTATTTTAAAGTTTATAAGATGTAGGGGGGTTTTGGCAAGGAACTCTTAGAAAACTTAGTTCTGTAGTATTTTTGTTGTGGACAGATTTTAGATAATTTTAAAGGTGACACTGATCTTTTTCTTCAAATTGCCGGTGTATAATGTCAAAGGGCTTAGAAAGCAGTTAAATTACCATCATTTTTTAAAAAAAAATGTGGAAGTTTTCTTGTTTTGTATAAACCCGATTTATCACACTGTAAATGTACACAATATTTGATCACAGAATCAGAGAATCACAGAAAATGCCAAATTGGAAGGGACCCAAAAGGATCATCTAGTCCAGCTCCTGGCCCTGCACAGGAACATCCCCAAGAGTCACACCATGTGCCTAAGAGTATCATCCAAATGCTTCCTGAACTGTCAGGCTTGGTGCTCCAACCACTTCCCTGGGGAGCCTGTTCCAGCAACCAACCACCCTCTGGGTGAAGAACCTATTTCTAATATCTGACCTAAACCTCTCTTGATGCCATTTCAGGCTATTCCCTCAGGACTAATGACCATAGAGAAGAGATCAGGGCCTGCCCTTCGTCTTCCCCTCACAAGGAAGTTGTAGACTGCAATAAGGTTTCCCCTTAGTCTCCTCTTCTCCAAGAGTGACCTCAGTCACTCCTAATACAGCTTCCTCTCAAGGTCCTTCATCATCTTCGCTGCCCTCCTTTGGACACTCTCTAAGACCTTAATATCTTTCTTACATTGCAGTGCCCAAAACTGCACACAATATTCAAGATGAGGCCACCTCAGCGCAGAGCAGAGCAGGACAATCCCCTCCCTCAACCAGCTGGAGGTGCTTTGCCTGATTCCCCCCAGGACACAGTTGGCCCTCCTGGCTGCCAGGGCACTGCTAACTCATATTCAGCTCGCCATCATAAAGGACCCCCAGGTCCCTTTCCAAAGCACTGCTTTCCAGTGTCTTATTGCCCAGTCCATAGGTACATCCAGGGTTGCCCCATCCCAGGTGCAGAATCCAGCACTTCCCCTTGCTGAACTTCATGTGGTTGGTGATTGTCCAGTCCTCTAATTTGTTGAGGTTTCTCTGCAGGGACTCCCTGCCTTCAAGGGAGCCAACAGCTCCTCTGAGTTTTGTGTCATCTGCAAACTTGCTTAGTGTTCCTTCCAGTCCTGCGTCCAAGTCATTTATGAAGATGTTGAAGCACACAGGGCCCAAGATGGAGCTGAAATCCAAAAAGACTACATCGACTGGCTTCTCTTGATCAACTAGGTGGGTTACATAAAAAGAAATCAGGTTGAATAAGCAGGACTTTCCTGTCATGAAGCTGTTCTGGCTGTGACCAATGACTGTGTTGTCTTTCAGGTGTTTCTCAATATTTCCTAGAATAACCTTCTCCATAACTTTACCAGGCACTGAAGTGAGATTGACAGAACTGTAGTTTCTGTCATGCTCCTACTTGCCCTTCTTGAAAACTGGGATAACATTTGCCAGCTGTGACCTCTCTGGATGGTTATGGGCTGACTTCAAAAACAAACTGAACGCTGCAGCTGCATCTCCTCAGAAGCAGTATCAAAGTTAAAAGAGGATTCCTTACACCTGTGTTAACATATTTTCACCATTATATTACAAGTATATGTACACTTTATTCTTTCATTTGCTTTTAAGAAATTCACTAGTTGACACAATGTCCTAGTCTTTTTGAAGAAAAAAATTATTAAAATACATCAGAGAAAGCTAAATGTACATCCAAGCTACAAGACTAAGCCTTCAAGAAGTATAGCCCAGAAAGACAACATTGACAGCCTTTAAGATGAAATTGCATACCAAAAATATATATAGTCCTCAGAATTACTGTATGCAGTATGACTATTCAACACTAGACAGAGGTATAAAACTGAAGTTTAAAAACTTTAAATATATTTTAAAAAATATTTAGGAACTAATTAGCCATGTTTTTCTCCTTGATTACATTGCTGTCCTTATTTTAAAAAAAAAGGTTGTAATAGAACCACTACTTCTTTGTAATGCACAAAGTAATAACATGTCGAAAGAGCTGCCTTGTTAACTAGATTAAGGGTGAAGTTCACCATTTAAATCATTAGTTAAAATTTAAAATTATGGGAGTTCCCTCAAGTACATTCTTCATCAGAACCCACTCTGACATTTGATTCCTTCTAGTGGAAGGTGAGTATCTATCAGTTCTTATTTTTCATTTAAGTAGAAATAAAGCCTTTCATTACCCAAGACTTCTTTTTTTACAGAAGTAAGTACTACTTCTTTCACTAAGTACCATGCTTAAAGCCCCTTTCTGAGCAGAGGGATGCAGAGAAATTCTCACAGACTTGCATACTAAAGTGAAAGTCTGGTCATTTAGTCATATCAAAAAATGTTTGGAGTGCTTTCATGGCAAAGTGGCAGTTTAAGGAGTTCCCACCTCTTACTGTTTAATACAGTTCTGCATTCCCATCGTTATTTTAGCACAGCTGTTGTCTCACTTTACTGAGAGGTCTGCTACCACCAAATACACTGCATTACTTTTCAGTTAGACAAGTTGCTCAAGACAACTCCTCCCTCAAGTTGCTGTGCATTAAAAGCTGTTTAATGACAGTACCTACGCCAAATGAATACAGATAAAGTCCTCCACTTCCTCTCTCGCCTTATGAGCCACAGACTTCTGCCACTTACCATACTCTGGGATTCTGAAACATCCCCAATCACATAAACCAATGTGAGTCGTTAAGATAGCTATCCTGGAAAAATATCACAGACTGGTTGAGGTTGGAAGGGATCTCTGGAAATCATCTGGTACAACCCTCTGCTCAAGCAGGGTCACTTACAAGATGCATGGGACCATGTCCAGATGTTTTTTAATATCTCTTAAGGAGGGAGACCCATGCCAGTGCTCAGTTAATTTTACAGTGAAGTGAAAAAGTGTTTCCTGATGTTCAGAATGAAACTCCTGTGTTTCAGCTTCTGCCCATTGTGTAACTTCCTGTTGCTGGGCACCAAAGAAAAGAGATGGTCTCCATCATATTTGCACCCTCTTCTTTGGGTATTTATCCCTTCCCAAGCCTTCTGTGCTCCAGGCTGAACAGTCCTAGCTCTCTCAGCCTTTCCTCAGTGGTGAGGTGCTCCAGTCCCTTAACCATCCTTGTGGCTCTTTGTTGGACTCTCTCCAGTCTGCCCACATTTCTCTTGTACTGGAGAGCCCAGAGCTGGACACAGTATTCCAGGTGTGGCCTCACCAGCACAGACGAAGGATCACCTCCCTCAGCCTGATGATAACATTCCTCCTAATAGAGTCCAGTATGCTATTCACCTCCTTTGCTGCAAAGGTACACTGGTGACTCACATTCAACTTTGGTGTCCACCAGGGCCCCAGGGCCTCTTTTGCAGCACTGTTTTCCAGATGGTTTGCCCTCAGAAGATAGGGGTGCTTGAGGTTGGACATGACCCTTAGTGCCATGATATAGTAATTAGAGTTGGATCAGGGGTTGGACTTGATGATCTTGGAGGTCTTTTCCAACCCAATCTATTCTATGATTCTATGATTCTATTCCCTGGTGCAGGACTTTACACTTTTTACTGTTCAACTACAAGAGTTTTCTCCCTATCAGCAAGCTGAATCAACCTGTCTTATATTTAGAAAAACATGAAAAAAGACACAAGAGAAAAAGACTGAAGCAAGAAATGAGAAAGCACTAAGAGACAGAGAGGAAACAGACATCCCAATTCAATGATGACAAGTTAATAGTTCGGTTCTGCCATAATGTGAAACCCACTTTGTCTCAACATACTAACAAGGATGGGTGAGGCACAGAACAGCTGTAGACTGCTTAAACAGTGCTATCTGATATGGAACCATGGCATGAAAAAGTATTTTGGTTTTCAAATTCAGAAAGCCAGGAAAATCTGGGGGTTTACAGGCACAGAAAATTTAAAACCAATTTTGGGGTAGGTTGCTAAAATTGGTGGGTTTATATCCAAGGAAGATCAAATTAATTACAAATTGTCCCTTCCTTATAGTTGTTCTACATGTAGTACTACAGGTAACATCGATCTCATAGGTCAGTATGACAACCCTTCCCCAAAGCACAAGAACTGTCTGCCTCTGCCCTGTTTCCTGAAGATAATATTCCTTGCTCCTCAAACACCAAAAACAGATATATGAAGTGTTACCTGAAAGCACAGTACTTCCTACATAGAAGTTTTTAGAGCAATTTTCACAACATGGAATTCTATGATTCCAGACACAATGCTTTTGGTAAGTGTTGAAGCCACCAACACAGCACAGTGTTGATATATTACGCATGAACAGTAATGAACTCACCCCTAAAGAAAGTCCCTATACAACTTTAAGTCCCAGTAACATGTGAAAACCTTGAAACCTTCCTGAACCAAAGTTCTAGAGAGTAAAAAGGTAGGTCTAAAGAAAAAGTTTACACAGATTAAAAACAAACAAACAAAACCTCACAAACAAAACCCCACAAACCCAAACCAACCAAAACCCAAAAACAAACAAAAAAACCCAAATCAAAACAAACAAACAAATCCCCAAAAAAGTCTGGTAGTACTGCAGTATTTGTACAGTCCTTTTGCTTTCCACAACTCTAAGCCATCCTAAACTCAATTATAAAATAAAGCTCTAATACTCTTTCACCTATTTTTGTAATTATTTTTGCACAACAACCATTATCATATTTTAGCTCTTAAAAATAACATTAAATTACTTTTATGAAGGAAATTCTTGGAAGAAAATACAACAGAAATAACATTAAATTACTTTTATAAAGGAAATACTTGGAAAAAAATACAACAAGGAATAACACTGATTGAAAGATTTGGAAACTATGGTTCAAAACTGGAACAGAGAAATTATGTATATTGCAGTTGTGTGTATTAAGTTCTTTCTTATTAAGGCATTGATTTGACAATATGCTTATAGCATATGTATCTGTATTATAATACTAAGAGACTGAACATCCAGTGCATATTTGATATACATCTTTTCAAATGAAAACCAGAGTGACATAATGCAGGATCATTAAGAGCTATTCCGAAATCCTGCTCCATGGTTAGTTATTTGCTTAACTACAGTTTTCTGAATAAAACATAGCTTAATTGATCTAACTTGTCTTTATAGAGTCTAGAGCACAGAATATGCTTCTTACCTCTAATTGTTGATATTCTGTTACATTAATCTTATCAATTGATTTTGCCAAATCAGGATAGTGGATGACATCATCTAAATCTTCTGTGTCTTCGGTATCAGATGTAGAAGCACTTTCTACTGTCACTTTCACAGGAACACCTGTCTAATTACACCAGAAAACCACACCCACTCACAACATTACAATGCCCAGCAAAAATCAAAGATTAAATCGTATCAAAAACTTAATTTAAATACAGTTGTTTCTAGGGTTCCTTACAATGTATATACATTGTCCAGCTATATAATTTTGAAACAAATTTGCATAAAACAATATTTAAAAAAAAAAATCAATCCTATGTGCGCATATGTTGGGTACATGTGGTGAGGAGTTAGCAGCAGGGCCCCTGTGAGGCACAGCCAGGGCTACTCCACATCAGACACAACTGATCCCACTTGACCCAACACAGGGCAGAGCTGGGCCCAGCAGTGAAGCTGGTGGAGCAGCAGGGTGAGATGATTTAACAAAGGGCAAAAAGCTCCAGACAGGAAGAAGAGGTGGGAACAAAGACAGTGAGAAAAAACAGCAGACTAGGAGCAGGAAGAGGTGCTCTGTGGTGGAGCCAATACCCTCACTCCTGCCAGGCAAGACCCACGTCAGAGCAGATGGACGGATCAAAGGAACTGCGGTGTACGGGGATCCTGTAGCAGTGAAGGTTTTCCCAAAGGACTGCAGTTCATGGGAAGCCTACAGCAGAGCAGTGTATAAGTGAGAAGCCATCACACCCTTCTGTGAGCCAGTTTAATTTAGTAGTATATAAAAATGCACTTCTCCAGCTGTTCTACAGTGGGCAAGGTGGGAGGAAGATGGAAATGAGATGCAAAGGAGATGGAAGAAAGTGGGGATTTTTCTTCTCCCACTGGTATGTCTACTAGAGCAGTTCACAGACAGGTGCAAACACAAGTACGTAATCCAAGCCTAAGACAGAAAAGTTGTTGCAAAAGCCCTCAGAGAAAAATGCTGTTAGTCCTCCTTATTACCTCTGGAGGGATTGTGCCCATACTCCAACCCAGCTTGCTCATAAGACTAGGAAACCAAAAGATACAGAGACAGAAATGGAAGTAAACCAAGTAGCAAAGAAGTTTCAACCAAATGATGATGTAAACTTTTTTTGCACTTCCATGAGAGATTATCTTTACAACTATGTTCCAGTCTTAACTTTTAGACAATAAATTCTGTTGAGAAAGAACACTTTCATCTTTTTTCAGGCACACATCTACTAAAGAAACCACTGTGAGAGAAACAGTACCTGAATCTCCACTGGCAATTCTCCAGCACGATCCAGAGCTCCACCTCTACAGTTAGGAAAAAAAAAAACCAACATACACTTCTGAGAAAAGTAAGTTTATAATGTCACCATTGCTACATTCATTCCCAAATACAGGATTCTAGGGCAGGTGAAGCACAAGAGTAAAAACAGCATCACACACTACGCTGTGTCCCTTTAACCCTCATTAGATCCTCACTTTGTTCTATTAGCACACCCTACTTAATCATGATTTAGAGCAACATTACTGGATGCTAACATTAATATCTTCAGTAGGCATCTTGCTTAGTTAATTATTTTGAACTGAAGTCAACAGGAGAATTTGGTGCTCAGCAATTTAAAAAATAAGTTTAATAACTACACTTATGATAGAGCATTAAGGAATTTTTTCTGTTTAAATAGTTACACAGTTTCCATTTTGCAAGGCTGAGGTCTAGGATACAGATTTTTAAAAAATCCAAACAAACCCAAACAAAAGCTGTTTCAAAAGAGAGCTTCCATACGTAACTTTTTTTAGTTTTATTTTAAGTCACAGGACTTAGATGATCACAATAATTATGCTTGTATTGGGGGAAATGGAGGAGAAAGAAGAGGTGGAAAAACTACCTAGGCATCAAATGCCAAATCAACTATACTACAAGCTTACAACACTAACTTGCACCTTCAGCTATGATAAATATGATAAATCAGATTAACAAAAGAACAAGCAGGCAAGGTAGGCTTGGTTGTGGTGGGTTTTTTGGCAACATCTGAATATTCCTATGGCCATCATTTATTTATGCGTATTTTAAATACTTACTAGAACAGAATTTATGTAAAATCCTTAAAATTTATATAAACAGAAAAAATTATGAATGCAATATAAAATTATATGTGTAAATTTCAAATCACATTTTAAAAAGACTAACATTGATCTCTACTATATTTATCATGCTGGTTTTATGCTTTATTGTTTTTTATTTTATGCTTTATTATTTATTATTTTATTATTTTCCCTTGAAAACTTCACCTGCATCTCTTTGCACGTTCTGCAGTCCGCCAAGGAAGGAAGCCTTTTGTGCCTGGTGGCTGTGGTTTTGGTGAGTAACTCTCTTTCACAGATGTACTTTTTTTCCCAGGACTTACCGATTTTTTAGACAATAGTCCTGTATTGAACAGTAAGATTAGAAGAAAAGAGAATACGTTATACCTAATTACTTACATACAAATTCACAGCATACTGTTACTAAGTAAAACCTCCTGTGTAATAATAGGGACTATTAATATAATAAGTATTATTAATAATAAGTAGGAAATCTGTCATTCAGTCTAACTTTGCTAAAGTGTACAAAAACCTGCAATTTTAAGCCGGTATACTTAACTGCTATGTTAGGTTGATGCAACTAAGGCAAGCTGTTATTCAAAAAGGAAGTAAAATTTTGTAGCTGAAGAGGTTTATGAACATCACTAATTTCAGATATCTAATTCCACTGGTTTACATGGGAGACAATCTGTGTAGACAATATGTGCTTCAAACTGCCCTCTAGTGGCTTTAGTGTGAAGAACGGTGATTTATTTATGGGCAAAGAGCTTAAAAATAAAGCTGGTACTCGTGGATTGCTTGTAATTAACATGGCAGCCTCTTCACTTAAGAGAACTAGTAATAAAAAAAAGTCATGTTCACTAGTCCAGTCTTTTGTTTTTGTTTAAATCATATATTAGTGAAGTAGATTCAGAAAAGAAACCTAATGTGGATGATCACTCTAAATCAGGTTCCTGTAAGTCAGAAACTAACAAGTCCACAAAACTTAATTTGTTCACCTAGTATTTCATACAGTTATACTAGCGAGAATTATGGTTATTACTTCTCTGAGATCAATAAAACAATTGATTTTGTAATGGTATGGATATGTGTAATTATGGTAATGCGATTCAAAGTATCAATTCCATCTCAAAATAGTAAACAAGAGTTTTCACCTCCTGACTCCCTCCCTCTCTTAAAAAAAATCCAAAACACACCAAAAAATACCACACAACAGAAAAAAGAAAATAGAAAGGAAAAAAACCCCACAAACCCACACCAAGAAACCCCCACTCACACCACAACTATAAATGTCAAGCATTTTCTTCTTCCACCACCCTGATCACCACAGTTTATTTATACAAAGACTTCAATTTGATTTATGCTTACCTCTCTGTTTCCAGATAACTAGAGCAAAGACGAAAGACAGTCAAATGTATTACATTGAAATTTTTAGTAGCTTACTGAAAAATAGTGTATTGCAGCTATCAGTACTAAATTATAAATATTCAAGATATCTATCTTATTTTAAACATAATATTTATAATAGGTTTACATGAAGTTTAAAAAACCTCTTAGAACACTTTGTACATCACTTAAAAATGCATGTATGTTTGTTCTGGCAAAGGACAGCTTGCTACAGAAAGGTTACAACAGCAGAAGAACTAAGCAATTTACTACTGCCAAGCTTCGCAGAAGTGAAAGCTTGTGGAGAGGATGCACTCAGAATAAATACGTGCAATTCTTCCACATATTTAAGTCAGCATGTCCTACCATTTTGCCAGCCACTGTCTAGCAGCACTAAAAACAAAAGCAAGTTTCCTACAGATACCAGTGATGATAGAAGATGCACTACTGAATTAATAAATGGAATTTTTTTGGAGACAAGTGTTCTGTAAAACACGTCATATATGTTACAATTAAAGCTCTTAAGCATTAATTTTATAGACAAAATTTACTATAGTCAGAGAAAATAAAGACAGTATTACCAATACGAATAGTAGCTTTTCCTTTTCGACCACTTCCTAGAACAATAGTCCTTTTCTTTGGTCTATTTTTCAAAGCATCCTTGGAGGATGGAGATGTCAGCCACTTATACTGGAATTTTTTTTTAAAGAAAGACAAATCAGTTTACTAACTGATAGCTAAAGAGGTATTTATTTAAAATAGGAGGGGGGTTTGTCAGATATAGAGAACACTGGTACTTACAGAAAATTTAATAAACTGTAAAATCAGGAAAAAAACCCAGAAGTCCCACAAAGCCCAAATTCAATTACAGATTTGATGCAGGTCTGAGTGCTACATTATCAGAAAGTGTTCCCAAAACTATAATATCCCATCTGATATTTTCCTATCTCCTCTGCAAAACACTTCTCTTTTTAAAGCAAAAACCCCACAGCACCAACCCTGTAAAGAGACAACTCTGGTTTCTGCATTTCATTCTCAGAAAACTGGCTTGATAGGTAGGAATGACTGGCTCAAGCCAAAGTTCTCCAGAGTAATAAAAGGTTCCCTAACACAATTTTGCATTACCAATAATATCAGTATTTAAAAAAATACGAAACTGTATTTTCACTGCCTTGTAAAGAAAATTCATCCTTACAAAGTAAAAGCCCCAAACTAAAATTAAGACACAGTGATGATCAAAGACCACACCTGTACTACAAACTTCATTTCCTTACAGCAACAGCTCTATTCTTAAAGCTTCCCTTTGCCCTGATAAAAAGTTTCATTACTCCTGGTATATATTCTTAAGTTACACTGCATTTTTCAATGTGCATCACTAATACAGGTTCCAGTGCTAAGCAGCTGTTGAAGGAAATACAGATGACATTAATGCAAAATTTTTCTCAGCTTTTAAACACCAGAGTAGGAGAAATTGTATGCCAAAGTTATTCCCATCTAAAGCACAGGAAAGATTAAAATGCCATTACTGTGCTCTAACCAACCAAATTTAGTTAAAATTTATCATTGGTGAGAAGAACTTTTTTTTCACTTGGGACTCAAATAATTGTGTAAGTTCTGTGGGGTCTATGGCTGGATCTAGCTCAAGACAACTGTTCTTTTTAAACTAAAAAACAGACAGAAAGAATAAAATGAAATTGTAAACGTCTAAAAGCGTCTTAATTTTGTTTTACAAGACACATAAAAGGGCAGTTTTATTAGGTTAACACTAAAGTTCACCTAGACTAGTAATCTGTCTATCGTCCAAGAGCCTGTTGCATGCAAGTATAAAGACAGCAAAGTATTAAGGTTGTGTTTTGAAAGCAGCTTGTTTTATAGACACCCTATAGTGGGTTGACCCTGGCTGGACACCAGGTAACCACTAAAGCCGCTCTCTCACTCCCATGTGCAACTGGACAGAGGAGAGAAAATATAACGAAGGATTCCTGAGTTGAGATAAGGACCTGGAGAGATCACTCGCCGACCACCGTCACAGGCAAAACACTTAAAGTGGGGATATTAATTAAATTTATTACTAACAGAATCAGAGGAGGTGAATGAGAAGTAAAATAAATCTTAAAAACACCTTCTCCACCGTCCTCCCCCTGCAGTGGCGCAGGGAGATGGGGAACGGCGGTTTTGGTCAGTTCATACAGGTTACTTTCTGCCACTGTTCAGAGAGAGGAGTCCTTCCACTGCTCCCTGTGGGGTCCCTCCCAGGGAAGACAGTCCTGCATGAACTTCTCTAGCCTGAGTCCATCCCACAGGCAACAGTTCTTTGCAAACTGCTGCAATATTTGTCATGTTTTCACGGGGTGCAGTCCTTCAGGCACAGCCTGCTCCAGTGTGGGTCCCCCCCAGGGCCACCCACAAGTCCTACCAGGAAAACCTGCTCTAGCGTGGGCTTCTCTCCCCATGGGTCAGCAGGTCCCTGCCAGGACCCTGCTCCAGTACAGGCCTCCCCCAGGGTCACAGCCTCCTTCAGGCATCCACCCACTCCGGTGTGGGTCTCCTCCACTGGCTGCAGGTGGATCTCTGTATCCCTGTTCTTCACATCCATGGGCTGCACCATCGGCTGCAGAGGAAGCTCAGCTCCACTGCCTGGAGCATCTCCTCCCACTCCTTCTTCACTGTGACCTTGGTGTTTGCAGAGTTTTTCACATGTTCTCACTCCACTCTTCTCTGGATGCAATTTTCATCTGCCACACAACTTTTTATCTCCTTCCTAAATATGTTATCACAGAGGTACTACTGTCATTCCTGATTGGCTTGGCCTTGGCCCGCAGTAGGTCCATCATGGAGCCAACTGGCATTGGGTCTACTAGACATGGGGGAAGCTTCTAGCAGCTTCTCACAGAAGCCACCCCTGTAGTGCCCCCACTACCAAAACCTGGCCACTCAAACCTGATACACACCTTCAATGGCTTTTTCCTTTAACCTATTCAGTCTCTCAGAAACTCCACAAACTTTTACCACCTATTACGCTCCATCATATCCATAATTACAACTTTACAGCTACACAGTGCTGCTAAAATAATACAATTTTTTTTTTGTTTTAGCTGCCCATCAAATTTAAAGGCATAAATTAGCAGTGGAGAACTAACTCTTTTTGCAAACTTGAAAATCCAACCCAAAAGACAATCACCTACAAGCTATTGAAAACCAAAGAGAAACAACCAGTTTTTATGCAAAACAGGATGGAAGGACTGCTGGGACTGGTGGAATAACAAGCTACTTATCAAGTACTGACTGCTGGTCAGTACTTCTTCATTCATGTTGTTAATGAAGAATTGCCAGTAAAACTGTAGATACTGCATTAAGTGCCAAAATATAAAACTAATGCCTGGAGTCAAGTTATCTCTTAGTATAAAGGAGATTCCCCAGAGTTGTTTCTTTCCATGGTTCAACTTCCAAATATCTTTAGCATTTCCAAGCAGATACTATTTTCATGTGATCCTTGCAACCTTTTCCAAGTATTGACTGCAACTGCCCTGGAGACAGAGCTTCACAACGAAGGTCAATTTCTCAAGAAAAGTCTTCTAGAGATTGAAGTGAGGAACTGCACTAATTCTCAAGGAATTCTACACCCAAATTCTCAGTTTATTAGATACTCCCTTCAGATCCACAGCCCTGACTTTTAAGTCTTTTCAAACCCAAAAGAGGAATAAGTTCCAGAACAAGAACTGGGAATGCTGCAGTTCTGTGAAATAAAGAACAAGACTACACTCCTTTCTTTCCTGTCTCCTAAAGGAGTTGAATCAGGTTTCTTTGTATTTGAACAGTGCATCTAATAATAAATATTCCAGATATTCAGTTTATGCACATTACTGTGAACTCTCTGTGGACTGCTAGATAAAGATCAAAGGGGGTACTGCACTTTAACTGAACTCTGTTTTTCTTAGAGGATTTGCATTGGAAAGGACAGTCTTGAGTAACTTAAAAAAAACCTTAATTATATAAATTAGTGACATGAAGTAAGTTTCACAGTAAATTAAGTTTTGAATTTTAAATTGCAGTTTCCTTTACTTTTAATGAAAATTTATTATTACCATGTTATTAAGGACAGATGTGGTAGAAAGCCCTCCAGCAGCACTATTTATTTATCATTCTACATTAATGCCCACGTACACGCACATTTCCATTTTTCTTTTCATTAAATGTATATCCTAGATTTTTTACATGTTACACCTTAAATTCCATGAGAAATCATATAAAAAGCCCAATACAGTATCATGTTGCTGATAGTGCTTTTAGGTTTTCCCCAACAAAGTGGGGTTTGTTGGTTTTTAAACTGCCTAAAAGTGAAACTTCTGTTTATAACTATAACTGGTTTAGATTCATTTTGAACAAAGTTGATCCTTAAAAAAAAAATAAATGCAATGGCAGCTGCAAAGAAAACCCCAAACTAATTGCAAAATCTGTAAAACATACCTCTGAATTAGCACCAGTTCCATTCTTAAGAACTCTTTCAATAATGTTTTTCATCAGAACCTGACCTAGGATGAATTAAAATACATTACTAAGAATTCTTTGTATGAGACAACTCTATGTAAACAAAGAGATCATTGAATAAGCAGTACACACTACCTACCCTTCTTGTTTCCCTCATTTTAAAAATGTTTAGCAAATTAATGTGGCATGTTTTTTTTTCTTAAAATATAGTTACTGAAGAAGAAAAAAAACCCACCACCACACAAAGAAGACAAAGGCAGACACGGATACATACCTATTAATGGATTTTTTCTTATGTCAAGTACCTCTAATGTTGTATTAGTTTGAAGAGCATCTAATAATGATCTTGCTCCCTCATTGGATATTCCACACTGCTGCAAATCAAGTGCTGAAATGTTTCAGGAGGTTAAAAAAAATAAAATTCATTGCAGTAATGACATTTAGTAACTTAATAGTCAATATCTAAAAAAAAATTAATCCACACCTGCTGAAAACCTCCATTTCATAGAACATGAAGCATAAGATACAGAGATATGATAACAGCCATGTGTAAAGCAGAAGTATTACTTTAAAAGAAGAAAACTAAAAATTTAAATTGGTTTTATAGATCAACTTAAATAACTGATAACAACTGCAAAGGAAGTAATATAAACCACTCTACAACCACTGCGGGCAACCTGTGCCAGTGTTAGAACACCCTCACAGTGAGAAAGTTTCCTGACACTCAGGAGAAACCTCCTGTGTTTTAATCTGCATCCATTTCCTCTTGCCTTGTCACCAGGTACCACCAGAAAGAGTTTGTCTCCAACTCTACAGCCTCCCTTCAGATATTTGTGTGCCTTGTAAGATCCCGCTCTGAGCCATCTCTTCTCCAAGCTAAACAGTTCCAGCTTCCTCAGCCTGTTTTTCAATGAGAGTTGCTCTAGTCCCTTCATCATCTTAATGGCCCTTCACTGGACTCTCTCCATTAGCTCCAGTTTTCTCCTGTATTGGGGAATCCACTTGTGCCCTCACCTTTGTTAACAGGAAGAATCACGTCCTTCAACCTGCTCACAAGTCTTTCCCTATTGCACTCTGGGATACCATTGGCCTTCTTTGCCACAAAGGCACTTTGCTGGCTCATGGACAGCCTGTTGTCCACCAGGACCTGCAAAGCTGCTTTCCAGCCATACAGACCCCAGCACGTTCTGGTGCATGGGATTATTCCAGCCTAGTTGCAGGACTCTGTGCTTCTTTTTCTTAAACTCTGTAAGGTTCCCATCAGCTCCTTTTCCCGCCTGCTGAGGTCCCTCTAGGTGGCATTGCAACCTTGCCTTCCCAGGGATCCAAGTAAGGCTGACTGGCCTTTAGTTTCCTGGGTCCTTCTTCCCAGACTTCTCGAAGATAAGGGTGACATTAGCTATCCTCCAGTGCTCACGCACCTGTTCTCCCAATCACCATGCTCTTCCAAAGATTATTGAGAGTGGCCTCAAAATGACATCAGCCAGCTCCCTCAACACTTGTGGATGCATCCCATTAGGGCCTATGGACAACTGTTCGTCCA